GTCTTTTTTTTTTTACTTTTTCATTCGAGGCAAACATTGCTGGTGTGATTTTGTTAACAAAGGCTGTGTAAACCCGGCTTAGAAGCGGCACGAGATTGGAATAGTACCTATATGCCTGGGATTACAGCTTTCCGCAATAACTTCAATTGATTTCTATACCGAATCCATTTTATGGGAAACTGGTACCGGATCAATGTTTTCTGTTTTCTTTTTTTCATTTATTTGACATGCGTTTCCATTATCCTGACATGATTTTTCTCCCTAGGGCGTTATTGTTATCGCTATTTTTGTGATGACTCAATCGGTGTTTTTGCGATAATTCAATCTTGTCGGTTATTGTGGATAAGAATTATTTACTCGTCTCTTTCAGTATTTTGATTTCTGGGTATTGTCGAAGAACAAGTGCCCGTTGGCAAGAGTATTCAATTGCAAATGCGAGGTGTACACGATTTAATTTTAATTCAGGGCTCTGAATAACATTAAGGGGGAAATGAGGGTTGATTGCGATGCTGGGGTTTTCGAACAATTCGCGAGATTTATAGGGGTGGGACTATAGGGGATCTTTAGTAGTGAATGTATACTTTTCTGGTAAATTATATGAAGTTCATGAGCAGAGATATTTACGCGGGAAATATCTTTGAGGAATATTCCCCTTTGTTTGGAGTTTTCCTCTTAATTTTCCGGATTGAATTCCGGGAATTTATCAATTCACGTGAGAATGATATTTTTCTGAAAATAAAAAATAATTGTTTACAATTTTTCAACGCCCAATAAAAATTTTGCCGATTCGCCCCAAAAAATTAAAACGAAAATTCTCAACAGTATAATTCGGAAATTCCAATTATCCCGATGATATAATCAATCGTCTGCGACTGCTGTTAGCAACTGTTGTGAAAAATGCAATTCAATCGAGCCAGAAAAAAAATGTGGCGATTTGTATGCGGCATAGTCTGAATTATTGATCCATAATCACTGTGATTCGATCAATAATTCCATTATAATTGAGTTGGAAAAAAGTCAATCAACGAATGTACACGCCACGACTTCTGGTTGAGAAGTATATAAGCCGGGGCATTTTGCATTCTACGATAAAAATGCCGGCAATTAATTAGAACGGCCCTTGGATAATTGCTTTTTACCCGGCCTGGATACTCGATGGTGATCGACGCTTTGGTTGAGAATAGAGGGGAGGGTCAGAAGCTGGAGTTGCACGCCATCGGAATTGAGGGGTGGAATTGCAGGGGGAGGTAATAGAAAAAAATATGCAAAGCCAAATTGGATGTCGGTTAAATGGACGTACCTGGGACGATGGATGTTAAAAAATCACGTGACGCCGACCCCAATGAATCCGCGGCTTGCCGCTGGCAAAAACAACGAGAAAGAACAATTAAAATCAATTAATCTTGTGGGCGAAATACGTTTTTTTTTCGGGGGGAATTAATTGGGAGAATCGATTCACGCATTCTCAATCCAAAAATTTTTAATATCAAATCGGCTGGTCATTATTAATACAAAAATATTCATAACTCCTGAAATTTCATTAATTCTTTTTTTTTTCATTTCATTAATTTCTTGTCAACTTCATTAATCATTAAAATGTCATGATTTCCTCTTTAGAAATATATTTAATTTCGCAGGAGAAAGATTAAGCAGCTATTAATAATAAGATAATTGATAATTACTATTTTTTTTTAAAGTTCTCTTACGATAGTCTCTCATGATAGCAAATAAATCAAAATCGTTAGTCATCTTAAATTAACATCAACCAGAATCTCCGATTTATTAATATTATAGAGAATTATCGGTTCATTAGTTGTTCATTCGCATTTTTAATTGGAGTAAAAAATTTATCCTGCGCTGTTGAAATTCATTGATTCACTTGAAATAAATCGTGGATTGAATAATAAACTTTATTCGATGGAAACTGAATGGCAGCAGTAGCCAAAGTACTTAAAAATCCGCGGGGTTAATGGTGATTTATTCGAGGCAATGACAGCCTCTCATAACAATTTATCCGCAATCTCCCGATAAACGATTATTCCCTCATGGCAAGATTTTTATTGTCATACCGATGGCGTGCCGAGAGTTGTCTAGCCATAAATGGGCTAAAACTCGTGTCGCGTGTTGTATGCATTATTTAGAGGTACGATATCTGTTCACACGTGTATCAACGTTAGCTATCAACCAATCGACGCCAATGGTGGCCGATGATTTCACGAGAGATTGTTGGCGCTCTCATAGAATTTCACTGATTTACTGGAAAATAAAAGGAGGTGGCGACGTATCCCCCAATCATTCTGGCTAATTTAATATTCCTCGGGTCACACGCGATATTGGAATTGAATCATACTTCATCACACCGAGAGAAAAGTCCAGTAAAAATTACCCAGAAATTACCCATAAAAAATTTACGAAATTTTTCATAAAAACCTTAAACCCCCTAATTTGTGAAATTTCATTAATAAATCATATTAATTTCTACAAGTTCTGCGAGAGTTCCTGAAATTTTAAAAAATTACCTCATGACTTGACCAACAGAAAAGTCAATCCATTTTCGATATAATCCGTCACATAAATTTATTCAGCAGAATGAATTTCTTTCGCAGAGCGCAGAATAATATTATAATTTTTGTCAAAGATTTCGCTCAAAGAGAAAACCGTTTTGAACATTATTTTATTTGTAATGAAAACAACGGTATTATTCAGTCAACCGAAAAACACGGAGATATGGCTCGGACAGGTGATTTGTAGAGTTGTACAATGTAATTATGATTCGTGGTCCACCGGCAAAGCTGCAGGCGACATGCCCTCCGTAAGCTTGATGTATTACGCATCTCTTATTTCACAATGCACCGAATCGGACACTGCAGCCCCTTCTGGACCACATGATATATTTTCCAGCTTTTAATGCATCAAGAAGCCCGAGGGTCTACCTATAGACAACGATCATACAACCCAAACAATTGTTTCCATTTTTCCAGAGAAAAACCGTAAAATTACACCCCCTAGATCCTCTACGCGCATTCACTAATAGCCGCTTGAGTTTTCCATCCTCTCATCGCTTTTTAACAAGGGATTCCTACGGATTTACCTTGCCGTAGGTTTTGCTCACTTCGTCATGTCACTCACCTCGGGTTACACCGATTTTCCGTGAAATAATAATCCAGTATGATCTTTGATATGGTTTTTGTGGAGAAGTGGAGCATGAAATCGGTGTTTGAAATCAATATTTCCATCATTCGCAGTTGTGAGAGCCGAGGAAAGGCTTCAGTTACTGCTAGGGACAGAAATGATTGAATGGAATGCCATCATGTATTTCTATTTCAAAGATTATTGACCATTTTTTATATTACTCTAGCCCATGAATTTTTTCTACAAAGATTTTTCATGCCATGATAAATAAATATTGTAATTTATCCGCAACACCAGAATTTCTGCAGGAAATGTAAATATGGGGGAATTCGTGAATATATAAGCATCTTAATTATCGAGGGAAGGCGGTAAATCCGTTCGATTAATCGCGATTGAATCGAGTCCTCTGGAGTATAACTGAGGACCAACCGCCAGACGAAGATTATTCTTTATTCCATTGGATCCGATAATCTCAGGGTACCAATACCTCCTTAACATAAGCCGAGGATCTCTTGGAGTGTTCCGAGTTGGGGAAACAACTGTTTTACCCATCCACGGCACTAGAGATGCATTAGAGCAATTGCGGAGTGGCCCTGAGAGGATAGTCGATGTCGGGGATGGTTCGAGAGAGATGCAACATTAATACATCCCGTCCCACAATTCACCCCCCAGGACCCTCGTCTACGTAGGCCACTCGACCATTTTACTTCTTCATTATGTATGTCCTCTCACGTACGAGTGGTTGCTTTTACGGAAAATATCCCGAGAAAATTTCTTGTCTCCTGACAATCGGGGAAGAAAACTCCGAATAACCTCGGGGTTAATGGATATTTCATTGTTTATTCCAAGGTAACGGCATACAATTAATCCACGGAGGGTAAATAATTGTTCTGTCAATTACCAATTAAACATTTCACCCTCAATTATTTATTACCTCATGAACATTCAATTTTGCACTATTTTCAGAATTTTAATAAATTCAAATTATCGAGTTTATAAAATTCAATTTCTCCAAATATCGTCACTATTAAAAGCCAATTAAACTATAGGAATCCCCTAGTTTTTTTTCTATTGATCCCAGTATTTAATATTTTATAACAATATTTTATAGAAGAAATTTTGTTCATTCAATTTGCCGTGTTCAGTCGTTCGCGATGAAGAACATGACTCGTGAGTCTCATTATTAATTCGGTATTGGTGTTATGAGCGATGGGGCTCATTAGAGTTTTGTTAATTACAGCGGGCTAATGAGTGCTCGCTCGGGGCATACGCTGGGATTGGAATAATCTGAGGTGGATGATTAAATTGAAATTATACCTGGTTTCAACTCTGGAGCTGCAATCTTTCGAGGGACTTCGACATCCGGATGAGACTCCGATGTCAATGTTGGAATGGACTTTATCGGTGCCAGAGATATCCTGAGACCCGCGACTGATAACACACGAGCAGATTTATGCACTCGCTATCGAAAATTCAGGGATGCTAGAGAAATGAGATCTTTAGTCTCGAAATATTGGACATTGCAGTTATTCAATTATTAAAAAAATAATCATAATTGTTGACTTATCGATTGACGTTCTTACATGCCTCACGAAAATAGTTAATAACAAAGCTCTCAATTGAATTTATTAAAATGTCAGTGAAGCGATCGTGAGAAAAAAATCCGAGAAGAAATCCACCGCGATGAGTACTCTGATATTCGGCGGTGAATAGTCCTCATGAATTTCTCTCTTCCTCAAACTTTTCCTACGGTAGATTGAGCGATCCACATCAATTTGCGCTACGAGCCCTATCAGTCTATTTATATAGCGAACGCCATAACGGAGGTGATTGCGCGATGCATGAAGACATTAGGGAATCTGGTCCAGCAGCTGAAGCATTGTGACAGTAGCAGTCCAGCCAGTTGTCAGTCAAGTTGTCTCCGCGTTGTAGTTGATTAGAGTGTAAATTCCCAACGATGATGTTGCAGATGTCCTTCCACAAAGCTCTCCTCTTCCACTGAGTAAATCAATCGCAATTCCCAATTGCAATTTGATCTTGAATCTTGATCATGACGACGAAAAAAATTGTACAGAACCAGGAGGAGGTGCCAGAGCGAGGCACCTGGGCCAGCAAAACAGAATTTATTCTCTCCTGCGCTGGTTATGCCATCGGAATAGGAAATGTCTGGCGATTTCCGTACTTGTGCTATAGAAATGGCGGGGGTGAGTTATTCCTTCTTGTCCCAACAATTTCATCCGAAATCATCAAGTGCACGATTCAACATGCTCTACATTTCATTGAAGTGCAATTACTTCGTTGATGCATGACCATCACTTTCGGATTCTATTGCATCTCTCGGTTGATTCTAGAATTTATTTTACTGGATTGGATTATTGAATTCACTGATTACTTTCTTACCAGTCAACAGCAACGATCAAGTCTTTAACGCCAAACACTTCCTCATTTTTGTCAATTATTCAAGTGATGATTGTCGCACGTGCTTTCGGAGGCACGCAACCTTGCGAAAAATGAACAATTACTGCCCACGCCAACGTCTGGCGGTCTCCATTAACGTTTACAATATTACAAGTAATTTCAACGATGAGATTCCGTAATGAGCATTTCTCGAGTTGTAAAGTCTATTCCGAGATTTTACAGTTTGTTGTTCAACGAGGTTTTGATTATCCATCATTGTAGTGGTAATAGGGGCTCAACCTAGGGCCCAACCGTTTAAAGTACATCAAATCCCTCGTGGAAATTGTATAACTCGTTCACTACACACTGCGTACTATTTTATTTCGGTGTCGAAATAATTTCCTGCTGAGGGAGAGAACAATTGAGTAAAAGCCATCATCGAATTATTTTAGATAAGCACGTACAACAAATTGACCACTGCCCTTGAACCATCTCGTTACTGGGTGTGAGGATTCAGCCATAATGAGGGGGAAAATGCAATGAGTAAAAGTTCATTTTTAGAAATAGTTTCGTTAATTTTGGACGTTCATTCTGGACGTTGCATTTAAGAATTGTTGGAACTTCCATCGTATATTCTTCCGTGAAAGTTCTAGAACTTCGGCGACTACTAAAAAAAATTCACATCCTTATTGGATAATTCTGTCACCAGCTGTTGTTCTTGCACAGGAGCTTTCCTTGTGCCATACCTGCTCTTGCTATTCCTGTGTGGAATTCCTCTCTTCTTCATGGAGTCCTGCATGGGACAGTTCGGTGGAACAGGATGCATCACGATGTTCAGGATGAGTCCGTTATTCAAAGGTGCTGGATTTGCGATTGTCATCGTGAATTTCATCTGCACGATGTATTACAATGTCATAATTTCCTATCCCCTCGTGTTCCTGTCGATGTCGTTCAAGGACAAGCTTCCTTGGGAGGACTGCGATAATCCGTGGAACACTCCAAGTTGTATAATGGTAAGACAGACAGATCCACCAATTCGATCTGAATCTCGTAACTTGAATCATTTCAGATCAACGACGTTCGAGTCGAAAATACAACCGAAGTCGAAGGACTCCTGCAGAAGGTCAGCACTCCTGCCGAGGAGTTCTTCAAGTAACAGAATTTGCACTTCAGTTATCACCGAATGTATCCCCTCCTAAAACAAGTACTCACTGATTATTTATTATTCACAGTAATCACGTTCTTGAAATTTCACCGGGGGTCGACGAAATCGGTGGCATCGTCTGGCCCCTCTTCATCTGCAACCTCATCTCCTGGATCGTCGTCTTCCTCTGCATTTTCAATGGCGTAAAAAGCGTCGGCAAGGTGAAATTTTAATTCAAGTCAAATCCAGAAACGGTTCCTGTGATTTATTTATATTCTAGGTGGTGTATTTCACGGCTACCTTCCCATTCTTCATCCTGTTTATTCTACTCCTGCGAGGTGTCACCCTTCCAGGTGCCTCGGACGGTATCTGGTTTTATATAACACCGAAGTGGTCACAACTTACTAATTTACGAGTAATCACTGACACGCAAGTCCACAATAAAACACCATTACACCATTCGGTCGACATTTATTGAGTGATTCTATTGTTATTGAAGGTTTGGGCTGATGCAGCTATTCAAATATTCTTCTCCCTGGGCCCAGGATGGGGTGGAATCGTCAATATGGCCAGCTATAATCAATTCAGAAATGATAATCGATTGTTCGTACTCAGTCATTCATTATTTCTGCAATGAGAAAGTTATTGTTTTCAATTTGGATACAACAATCTTCTCACTTTTTAGTGAATTATTTATCTCTTGGAATAATACTCAATGATAATCCACAGAGATGCCATTTGGATTCCAATCCTCAATTGTGGAACAAGTATTTTTGCTGGTTTTGTTGTGTTCTCGGTCTTAGGATTTATGGCACACAGAACAGGCTTGCCCATCGCAGCAGTGGCAACCGGAGGTTAGTAATTATTAAAGTAATCATTAAAACATTGAAAATTAAAATTGAAGCGTTGAAATATCAATGATCACAACAGAAGAACAAAATTCGTTGGATTTTCAAAATTAATTAAAACCCACAAAATTGAAAATTCATGTGCACTTATTACGGAATATAAAAAAATTATGACAATTTAATCGATTCTCAAATCAGGACCGTCTTTGGCTTTCGAGACGTACCCAGCAGCTCTCACGATGCTCCCCTTTCCCCAGCTGTGGTCTGTCCTCTTTTTCGCAATGCTCTACTTCCTGGGAATGGATAGTTGCGTGAGTAGCTCTTCTCCATTTGAAATATTACCCCAATTCCCAGTCAAATATGAAAATTAATCGTGGCTGTCCGTCATTCAAGTTCGTGCAAATCGAGGCCATCATATCAAGCGTCACCGACGCGTACCCGAATTTGAGGAAACGAAAACAACTCGTGGCGATGGGCTCAATATTCATTCTTTTCCTAGGATCTCTGATATTCGTGACAAACGTGAGTGGCTGCCACTCCCTGCCGCAATTAAATAAATAATTCGATTATTAATCAATCTTCCTCCTCAGGGTGGAATGTATCTTCTCCAAATGTTTGACTGGTACGCAGCTTCTGTCTCTGTGATATCCATTTGTCTAGCTGAAGTAATCGTTGTCGGATGGACCTACGGTAATCACTTGCATCCCCATTACTCTCACTAATATTCATAATTTATTAATAAAAATTATGTCTTCAGGCTGTGACAATTTCGTGCGAGACGTTGAGTTCATGTTGGGTAACAAATTGAACCCATGGTGGCCATATTCCTGGAAATACATTACTCCAGTCATCCTGACGGTAAACAATAGTCATTAACAATAAGTCACGATGTACTCAATGCGATGGGGAATTTTGTACTCGCATCGCAGATAAATATGACTCTTCGTGATTTCTGTCCATTTATTGAGTATTATAGGGGCTGAAAAAAGTAGAGGGAAAGTCCGGGTAAAAGATGGGAGAAACGAACAGAAATCACGATGTCATTGATGAATCGATTGGATCTTTATTTGCAGTTGATATTCGCCACGACCATTGTATTTAACACGCGAATATCATACAATGGTGTTCAGTATCCTGAGTGGGCAGTCTTTCTGGGGTGGTGCTCATGCATGGTGAGCATGATTTGCATCCCTGGGTACATGATATACTTTCTCCTCACTACCAAGGTTCGACGAGAATTTAATTCTTCATTGTCTTTTGGTTCCAGCCTAGTGCAATTAATATTTATTTTCCCATCAGGGCTCATTTAAGAAGAGATTCGAGGTGGGCACGAGCCCCACCCCAAAATGGGGCCCCCAGAAAGCTGGGGACCGAGAAGCGTGGAAAAGATATCTATCAGGAACAACGAGCGATCCAGAGCTCTCCAACATAAACATCATAAGGATCACAAGTCTCTGATGAATGGAGAGAAGATCTCACGCATCAGGAATGGCGCCATCAGAATTCATCTGTCTGACATGTTAACCTAAGTTAACCTAATTATGAATCATAAGATTTTAGGGGTGTAATCAAAATTATTTGTACCGAGTTAACATTGTTTTCCAAATTTTTCTTTTGTGGAATAAAAATTGAGCAATGACTGAGAACACGAAGACCACTCGGTTCGATGAATCGAGGAATGAGTTGAGTGTCAGCAATAACGAGCCGAAGAAAAAGAAAATTAAGAGTAAAAAACTGATTTTTTCATCGACCGTCGATCCTTACGATTATCCCTTGAGATGGTGGGAAGTGAAGCCTTTGAAATACGCGTGAGTAATTGAAATCCTATTTTCTGTCTGAGTATCAACAATTGAACTTTAGAAGACAGTAATTTTTCAATGAATCTCTTCAGAAATCGTAAAATTCTTTTTTTTTGTTTGGAATCAATTATCGAGAAGAAAATCTGCATTGAACTGCATCAATTACGGCACGGAATTATCTATTTATATTACGAAATTGCGCATCCGAGGAAACGGAAGGGAGTGTACAACCGAATGAGTTGGGGTATCAAAACATGAAAAAGCTGCCAACTTCGGCACGAACTCCTCTCCAACCCTGAAAAATCGATCTCTGGGTTTTCCGGTGCTCGTTTTCAAGGAGTCAAGTGTGCCGAAGTGGTTTGCATTACTCGGGTGCTAATCACGCCATCCTTTCTTATAAAAAGTCCAACAGCTTTCGAGGAATTCATTCAATGTGGATTATACCGTGTGGCCCGACAGGCGCTGATCGATATCACTTTAATCTTGAAAAAGTCTTATTTAACCTTGTGATTCTCTTCGCCGTTTTCACTTTCAATCGAGAAAAAAAAGTTGATGAAAACTTCTTCATCTCTTCCGTAGATAACGGGAACGAAAACTGAAACTAAATGGAAAATTAATTAATGGCGAATTAAAGCCGATGGCTTTTCGTTTAATTATGACAATGCAACCTGAGGAAAATTATTTGTTCTCTCCCAGCTGTGGATTTTATCTGTTCTCGAGCCACCGGGATTATAGAAAACTTGTCAATTGTCAATGTTTATATTGAAAATTCAAGGAGTGGGGGTGATGCATTTATTTGTGAATGAACACCTGAATTTTCAGACATATCCCGAGAATTCAATTTGCAATAAATTGAAAATTCAGGGAAGTTATTGCCAAGGTTTTCTTAATTTCGAATTTCAAATGCAATTTTCTGCAATGCGAGGGGTACAGTACAGAGTATTAACCCCCGAAGATGGCGGCCCGAAAGCTCGTGCTTCCCTCCGATTTCAATAAAATATCGACTCCCCGGGTGAAATCGGGGGAATTAATTTCCAACACATACGCTGAGAAATAAATAGGCAGTTTCTCCTGTTGTGAAATCACACGCCGCATGAATCGCGTGTTGTGGGTGGCATGCCGTCTGGCTGCCTAAACAACATCCACAACGTGCCATGATGCCAGGTTATCCACAATCCCGGTGCTTCATCGTCGACGAGAATTGCCTGTCCGTGGGGTTTACGTGCGCTGAAGTTCTCGCATGATCCCGTGGATACGACTGTTTTGTGAGCGACGCCGAAGGCGTTGGACTGGGTGAAAATTCCCCGACGGCTTTCACCACTCGAATCATTTCCGCGGAATCGCTGATAGCGTTCGCTCATACGCGTTCTCAGGATTTTAAAAGGATGTTGAGAGGTGTTCGCGTGAGTTTTTACGAGTGACGGAGAAATCATCTGGAGATGATTCCACCAACGGGCGATGGATTCTGGGCGACGGTCGAACTCCTGGTGCACGCCATACCGGACGCCAGGGGAGATCGTTTTAGTGATGATATTGAGGACTGGCTGGAGACTGTCGCCAGTAAAGTCGAGGTCATCAGGGAGAGGAAGAGGAGGGTCAACCCTCAGGATGATCAGGATCTCTATCCAGGGTATCGTCCCATCATCGACTGCAGGTAAACGCATTTTTTGCCGGGGGTCAATTATGGAATCCCCGGGAAATCGGGGGTTCCCTCAGCGGCTAACATTTTTTATGGGTATTGCAAATAATAAAGAAATCTTCAGATTTCGAAAATAATTACAAATCATCCGTTTTGATCAGAAATTATGATTTTTTAAATTAATTGAAATTCAAAAATCATTAGAAGCCACAAAAATCATCGAAGTCCGAAAAATTCAAGAGAAATCACGATTTCAGATTCGTTTTGAAAAATCAGGGGAAACCAATCTAAAAATCGAAAAAACGAGAGATTTCGCGAGGAAATAAATGAAGAAATTATTTCATATTCGAATTAATTACTCAGGAATTTCCGGAATTTCTGGGGAATCGTCTGCTTGATAGACAGACGATAAAGTGCGGCTTCTCACTGAAATTCGGCATCTACTTTACCTTCTGCCGTGACGATATTTAATTTCTCTCATCTTACCAACCGACGAACGTTCGAATTTTTTGTTAAAATTTTTTCAATCCCATCCCATCATTCTCCAATCAATTTTGTAATTAAAGAATGAAGTTCGGGAGCATAAATCGCAAGTAAGATGTTACACCTTGCAATTTCCACTGGGGAAATGAAGCTACACTCGCCCACAAGGAGATGCCGTAAAGTCAGTGATTTCAGTTAACCGCACGTTCACCAGAGATTATCGTAACTTCACCGTGAGCCTCCGCATTCCTGAAAATTAATTGGCGCCCCAATTGAAGGAAGTCATTTCGAGATTACACGATGCGTGACATTGCTAGATAACATTATCAAATTTACACTCGAACAATTTGACTTGGAATGGCACCACGTGTGCGATCAAACGACGACGGAATAGCGCCCGAGAGGTACTTTAAACGTTAACTTTTAAATTTCGTTTGACGACACAACTTTTTGGATGAACAAGAGAACTTCCGTGAAAGGACACACGTGGGTGGGAAAATGTCAAGGTTTTTCGCTCCATACGCAATCATTCGGTGACCCAGTCAGTAATTCATACTGGGGTGGTACTATCAGGAAAGATGATTGATGAGGATTCAGAGGTTGAGCTAAATTAGTGGAAATTTCCTAGAGATAATTCAAATCGTCTTCAGAGGTGATTAGAACTCGTGTGACTGGCAATCTAATTTTTTATCAATATTTTTTGTTTATCGCTCTATTGAAATTTCATGAAATAATTGTTTTTGGGTGATGATTTTAATCTCGTCCCTGAATTCGAAGTTCTCTACACGATTTATTCATCTGGAAACTTCAACGGATGTTTTATTATATAAAAATCTCAGAAGTTTCTAGAGTGGGTGGGCTAAAAATCTGTTCTAATATCCAATAATTCCAGAAACAACAATTAGGAGTTGAGATGAAAGTTGGGAAGTTGTGGATTATTTCTGGGAATGTTTTCAATACTCCAGAGAAATGGCTGGACTCGTTGGTGATGAAAACTGTGTGGAAGTTCCACCATACAGTGGGTGAAGTACGTGTCTCATTCCAAGGGAATGTACTCCAAAATCGATACTCGATTTCTCATGCACCTACACTTACCTTCGATCACGCTACATCGGGGCAATATCAGTTTAAGTTGAGTTATAGACCTCATCGAGTATTCAAATGCGTATACGTCAGGTATCGAGTGGGTGAATATTTGAAAATTTCATCATTCAATAAAAAATTTGATGGTCCATCGAGAGATCCGTTGAAAAATTCTTCAACAATTCTGCAGAATCTACAGAATATTGAGAAGTTCGACCAACCCTCGAAATCTAGATCTTTAAATCTACCCGCAATAAACTGTTAGAAAAAAACAGGAATTTCATTACTTTTCTATTTAATTTGAGATAAATTGAAATTTGAAATTCTGAATAATTGATAAAATACCGGTATAAAAAAGAATTTAATTCTTCCATAAGCTTTTGCTTTTTGGCGGAATGTCTTAATGCCACCCCCGCTGATAACCAGAAATACTCACTGAGATAAAAAGTAGAGAGGCCGATTGCAGTTCACCTCCAAGTTGTCCCTATCAATGACGAGACCATTGAAAGCATTGAAATTCCTCCCGTCTGACCATGTGATTTTTTTTCTCCTTTCACCTCGGGTGCGGACAATTTGTCGGAACTGCCCACCCCATTGCCAACTAACAAAAACAAAGGCGACATGAGGGTTGATGGGTGGGTGGGTGATGTGAGGATATGATACACACAATTCAGGGAGGAACTGAAGGACCTTGGCTGTCTCTCCTCCATGTGAGAGGGCATAAATCCCCCTAGTCCTCCCTCAACCACCACCCCCTTACCACCCCAAATAATCGATACTCGATCGTCCTTCCCCATGTCCCACATTCGTTGAACCTGTCCCACTGCGGCATGCACTCGCCATTACGCCTGCATTATCTATTTGTTTTTTTATCTCCTATTCGTCTTCTCGTTGTGTCACGCTCAGGAAACTCAAACAGACGAACGTTTCCAACGATTTCATCGTATTTTTTTTTTAACGTGTTTTTTTTTTACTTATTTCTATTCCGTACTCTGCACTACCATCAAACCCTCGCCGTGCCCTCCACCCGACGGCCATTCTTCTTTTTTTTTTCCCCCTTTTTTCCCTCTTTACTCCACTTCTATGAAACAACTTCTTGGCATTTGGTGCACATTCTGCCTATTTTTACGTTATCCAAACGCAAATAAAAATTCAGTCGTAAGAGTCTCGTACTGTCGTAAACATGGTCGACCTTCATGAATTTCTCATTCTCGCATTTTGGTAAAAAAGAAATGGAAGAATTGTTTATCGGTATTGCAAAGAAGCGAATGTTTGGGAACAATTACGGGACCATCCACAATGGGGAATCGTAATCTCCGAATGTTTGTAGGAATGGAAGAGAATAAATTTGAAAGACGTTTTGCGGATATTTTTCCCGAAGGAGTAAAATCCAGAAATCTTGGAGGCATTGCCTTCAAATTTCAAAAAATCGTGAATGTTCAATTATTTTTATGAAGGTGGTGAATTAATTCTACATAGAGTTCTGTAAAAGTCGTCTGTTGGGAAAAAATGACGGGACAAATTTTCCGGTCATTTATGTTTACGGAATATTCACAGAACTTCAATTTTCACTGACAATTCCTCTTCAATTTTATCTCGCAACATGAATTCTATTTCTATGAATATTTGTATAAATTTTGGGTTAAAAATAAAAAATGGCAGGTAAAAAAATTTAAACGAAAAACATTACGGGATAAATAAAGAGGCAATAATTCAATTGCTTCCGGTAATTTCCATTGAGTCTTTCTCGTCGTATAATAGAGAGAATTCGATAGTCATTCGGGCGATAATCAATTCTTCAACGATTTTCCTGAACATTCCAATTAGTTTCAATTGGCATCAACCAATGAATAATTCTCCGACATGAGCACTCCTCGATCAATTGTCGCCAGCACTCCCCTATTTATCCCATTCGTTAAAAATGAGATAATAATCTCGATTAAAACCGCGTCACTCGATCAATCTCCGATTAATCGCCATAAATTTCACAGTCGTGTTCTAATCCTCAATCAATGTCAACCGATTTTATTCCCAGAAGAAAATGGATAAATAAAATAAATTATAAAAGACTGTGAGGCGGACGGATTATCGGTCTTTCCACCCCAATAACTTCCGGTGTACATATTTGCCGATAAAATAGCATCAATTACGTAGCGTCTGCGATCTGTTCTCTCCACTCCACATTTTCCGTTGTTTATAAATACCGGAAAATTTTCGGCTGCTATCTCTAACGGATCTCCCTTTAATTATTTAATCAACTGCCTGAAAAAAAAGACAATAATCTCGAATAAATTAACTGTGTCCCTGATCGTGAATCCCCATAAATGGAGGTAATTTCAGGACTTCACGTGTCTGGAGCTAAAACTCCAGCGGAAATTTCCATCTAAAATTGCCCAAGCCTCGTTTATTAACAATAAAACCGCGGAATGAAACCCGAATCCTCGGATTCTCGCAGTTCACCGATTGAACTCTCGCGTGTACTCACAATTTCAAGAGTTTGCCATGTTATTAAGGTACATTAAAGTCCATTACAACTTGAGGATCAATTTCGAGTAGTTTATAATTTCATCTTTGAGCAACTAAATTCGTCTTAAACAACTCTTGATGAGTCCGGTGAGACCGTTAAGTTGTCGATAAATTCTTGACGTCATGGGAAGGTCATGATAACGCGTTGGGACCGACGTAAACGCATCAAAAGTCATTGCTGTCATACACATGGGATAGTTTTACCGCCCGCCTGCCACCCTCGCAACTTCGAGGCCTCTAAGTCACGAAACCTTATTTCACGTGAATTTCTGACTCAGTCGAGCACAGAAGTTCGTCGAATGTGGAGTTGCTCGATACAACTATCGATAAATCGGTATCAGGCTGTTTCGGTGATTTTTTTCAGTGACGAAAATCCATGGAATTTGAGATTACCCGTAGAAATCTATGGATTTATCGTAGAGTCACGCGGACACGTCATATCACTCATGGGGAGATACCATCGTCCGGCGAATGACGTAAGATGGCCACTGGAGATTAATGGGGCAATTAATTTAATTAGTTTTATTATACGTCGTAATATACGGTGAAATTAAATCTGTTGACACATGGTCGGTGAGTTTTTACGAAATATCACCTGAACTAAGCGAAATTGCCTAATTTTGGTGATTACCTTTTTTGAAGCCCTCGATTTGATGGGTAATAAAGGTCATTACAAAAATTTTATTATTTCCGCTAGTTTTGGAAATATTTCCGAACTCAGTCTCGTTTCACCGTTTCACTACTCATATTTTGCGAAATATATTTCAAATACATAGGATTGTCTCTATATTTTACATAAAATATGGGTACAGACGGTTTTGTAATGCAAGTGTGCAAAACTGCACTTTTCGCACGTGCAAGTGACTCATCCGATTTTACAAAGAATTAAATTGTAAAATTTTGGGCGATTTTTGAATGAAAAAAAAATATGTACCGTTATATTAAAAATAAAATAATTGATTTTTATTCGATTTGATTGCAGCTTCAGCAATCCCCCGGTAAGATCCAAGCTGGAGATGCTGATGGGCAGCAATGTCGTCAGACTGACGGACCGCAGGTACATGCTGAAACTCATGGCGAGGATACGACAGGATTACGAGAACCGGCAGCAAAGTAGGATCGAGGAGAGAAAGGTAATTAATTAATTATTATCATCAACTTAAAATTTTTGCACCACCAGCGAATGACTTATCACCGAGGAAAAATAACGGAATTATTCATTCTTTATTTAAATTATTTAATTTTTTCATTACTGATTCATTTATTATTTCAATTATTTCATATTAATTCATACCGATGAATCCCGAATGATTATTAAAATTTAGTGTCCATCCATTAAAACCGAAAATAATTAAAGAACGGATCGTCGACTTGTAGTACGAGTCAACGGTATGTTCATCCGACTAGTCAGTCCGGTCTATAAAATCTTCCAATTAAAAAAAACCCCCCAAAAATTCAATTCCCTTCTGAGTACAAAATGATAGATCGTAAAGCTTCCCCGAAAGTTCGATGGAAATGTCAAATTCCTTTTATCTCTTATATTCTTCAGAGAACTCGTCCGAATATGTAGGTCGAAACAAATAGATGTCGGTGCGAGGGGAGAGGGTAGATTGAAATTTTTTGATATCCACGAGACTGTACTCCACAGAGCCCTGAATGTTTTGTTCCTAGGGAATAATCGAAAAATAAATTGAACCGTTTACTCCCTCTGCGAGCAAGAAGCCCCGGATTTTCGCATTAATCCTCCGCATGATCGACTTAGCATTAAACTTAACGACTCCTATTCGTAAATCGATACAATCCAATATTCCCGGTCTATCATATGTCAGTACTAGAACGGACTTGAAAAAAAAAGCGAGTAAATACGAGGATAAAGAGGATGTGTTATTATTTCAGCTGAGAATTTCCAAAATACTTTGTATTTCCAACTCTCTAACTTCACTTATCTCCTGTTCCCATTTCTTCGGTTCATTATCATCAGGAAATTTTCATTTTTCGTATTTTCGTGTATTTACTGACTGTTCGATGATCACTGGATACTCACCTGGATGACGGAATTTAAATTGTAATGTAAGGGATACGGAAATGTGTGTTGCATGCGAGTCGGCCGTTTTGTTGGTCCCCTCAACCCCTCGGGTTGATGATGGGCTTTGGCTACCCGCCATTTCGATGCACAGGCCAATCTCAACCCCGATGACTAAGTGAAACGGTACTTTAAAGTACTTTATGAGTATTTTCTGATCGCGTGTCAGCGCCGACACGGAAACCACAGTGTGTGGCTTTACACTGCGACTCTATCGCGTAATGGAAAATTTTCGTTTTAGGAAATGGATTGGTGAATGAATGGGGAAATTGAACATTAATTGTCATCAATTGTCATCAATTGTCGTCAATAGTCATCAATAGTCGTCAATAGTCATCAGTTGCTTCATTGCATCGCGGTATTTACCGCGGAATTCTCGGAATTTGATTTTTCGTATTGCTTACGTGAAACGCTTTACGAATTCAACGGATTTTCTGCGACGTAAATGTACTGACCATTGAAAATATTTTTTACAAGCACATATCCAACTTCAATTATTTTAATTATATTTGCATTTTCTTCGGAATTGCTGAGACAAATCTGCAAGCATCTGCATGGATTTTTAGCGAATAATTACCGGTCGCCGCTCAAATTTTCAGAGTCCCTTCCGTAATTGGTACGCAAATTGTGGGTACGGTAATTTTTATTGAATATTTCTTTCCGTGTATTGACATCTCTCTGGCGCCAGGCACGAATGCTCTGGAAGACCTAGTGCGGAAACCCAATTGCGGTGTAAAAACTTTCGGAGGATTCCACAGAAACGAGAATCGAAAAATTGATAATTCTCTTTCACCTAAACCACAGATTCTCCGTCATTCATAATTTTCCCATTTCCGAGAATTCCATGAGAAAATTCAAAAAAGATTACTCCTAAAAAATAAAAGTGATCAATTCTCATTATCAATTCAAATACCGCAATCAATAATTTATAAGTTTCCAGTAAAATTCTTCGGCGCATGTGAATTATCTTTCGCCCTCGAATCCCACATGAGGAACGCAAGACCAGTAATTACCCCCCACTCGTCCTCAATATTCAAAACGTGTTTCGAATGCACATAATCCTTATAACAATAATGAGGGAAATTTGAATCCCGGAAAAAATATCCCAGGTAAAAAATATCCCACACATTCAAAACGTGTTAAAACTCGCTCAATTTAATTATTTTTTAATTTAATTATTTTTTTCGTTTTTTTTTTCAGAGGCTCTAATTTTCCTATGGCCTATCAAATTGGGTGGGTTTTAACACTTTTTGGGTGTGTGGGCTATTTTTCTGGGGATATTTTTTCCTTCTACCGGGAAATTTAGCCCTGGGGCAGATCGCCTCCCCCAGAGCAAAGTCCATTCATTGGTCTGACCACCAGTTCCTGGTATTACTCCCGCCGAAGTAGCTCCAACTCAGAACCCCAACAAGCGTCAATATTTTCCTAATTACTCCGAGTAACTTTTCACATTACGTCACCATGAAAGTATCAAAATTCCCTTTTACGAGATTAATGAGGAAAACAGTGAAATGGACGACCGAGTAAATGAGGGAACGGGGAGAAAAACGATTTCTCTGTCATTTAGGGTTTTACTGATGGGATCAAAGGTGAGGTTTCAACCCACGCAAGTTATTTCAAATCCATTCCATTCGTAATGTTTCTCTCGATTGGACTCAGGACAGTGGATCGTCTTACCAACGTTATTTCTGTTTGTATCCGAGAATACGTCTGGTTGTTTCTGTTTGCTTCCTGATGCTCTCGAGTTTTATTTATTTTCCCCCACTGGAATTTTATCCGACAAGTTCTCCCGGTGGCAACATATTCGATGTAGTCTTCATGTATCTCTTCTCCTATCATGAAAATATTATGTAAACAATCAAATATGTAATAAACAGACCAATAAATGTAATAAATCAAAGTATTGTCTAATAAAATTGAATTTGAAGAAGAATTATATATTTTTAAATAAATAATTGAAATTTAAATTGCGGCTAACGGGGGTTTAAGTATTTATCACTGTAGAAGATGAATTTTTTATCTAGAAAAATGAACTGATGAGGACGAAGATGATGATCCTGAACCGCTTGATCCCGGTGCAAGAGGCACCTGTGGAAATCCGGAGGTATCCACTCTTCCAGCTCTACTTGTACTGCGACGCAATCATCGAGGAGAAGAGGAAAAAGGTGAATGAATTCCCATCGCGTAATAATTTCACGAATTGTTCGATAATTTTTTCTTACCGTGTGGAATCTGCCTCAAGGTAATCATCGGCTTTTGGTAATTTATGTCATTTTTTTGGGGATAATCTGCAGAGATCACCGAAGCAGATAAAAATAGCGCAGTCCTTGTACCGTAATCTCTATCCGCACACCGAGACAGAGGAGAAACTAGGGACTGAGGAAACAGAGGTTTACATGAAACGCGTTCACGTGAATGGATCCCCAGAATTGGTACACAATCTCTTCATTTCAAATGAATTCACAAAGCTGAAGCCAAATAAAAAGTTTATTTCATTTACATTGAAACAAAAATCGGATTATGAAAGTATTGATTGTTTTTTAAATCTTCTTTTACCAATCAATGGCTTTTTTTTTTGATTATGTAAGAAAGGTGCAGTACAGAATCATTCAATCATTTATTTGCATTCAGGTACCTCTGACTGCTGAGGAACTGGCTGAAGTGAAACGAGAGGAGGAAGCAGAATCAGACATTGTCAACGGGTACATGCTCACCCAGGAGGAGTACGACAGGCTCCATTACGAAACCGCTGCAATAAAGGATCTCCGAGAGGCACAGGTGGGTGCAATATTGAGCAATTAACAGGTTTAACCAATACGCAATTAGCTGTTTGCTCAGAGACGTCACAGAATTTAATTCTACCGACTACCACTCCTACTCCTACCTGAGGTTAAATTCATCCGAACGTTGGATAATTAGTCGATAAGAGTAATTAGAAAATCCCGGGGGGTTTGAGGGAGTTCGCTTTAATCCGCATTTTTATTTGGTTGATTGAAGTCGTCGGAGATACAGATAATCTCCGAGTGAACTATCGACTGTTGTTATCAACTCGATTATAACAGTTCGAAGAGCATCAAGAGACATCTCTGAAGAGTTATGATTTAAACAAATAAACTGTTATTTTATTGTAGCAATGCAAACGCGAATTATTTTAATAGTTAGAAAATTATAGATTTTTTGCAATTATCATTTGCCATTTTTTTTTATATCTAATGACTACCAATTGAAGAAATAATGAACACGAAGGGGTGAATGAATGAGTGAATATATCACGATTTTGATGAAGGAATTGGGGATTTGGTCTAAGTGCATTTATTGTTGACAGAACGTGGAGGATATGTATGCTAGAGCTCACGAAATCCTGGGGATTCTTTACTCCTACGTGGATGATGGAAAGTATAAGAAGCCATTGAAGGAGGAGTCATCTGCGTCATCGCCAGAGGGTCAAGAACATGTCGATGAACCTGAGACAGCGCAGTCAACAACGCAGGATTAACGTCCCCTTTTCGGCGTAAAAATCATGACTTGCTCGTTCACTCGGGAAAATTCATCGCGTCATATTTACGGGAGGGGATTGCAGAGACTCTGAGGTGATTTGAGTTTGCTATTCATGGAGGGTGAAGGACCGGGCTGTTGGGGGATATCAAGATGTCCATGCAAATGTATTGCTGGAGATGGTAACATTGTCAAGCTGTCTGATGAATGGTGATAAGAAGTGGAGGAGATTTAATTTTTATCGCACGTCATGCCTTCAAGATGTGGGTAGAGATAAATGGAAATAAATCATTTTTTTCAACTGATTATTCAATTTATTATTGTATTGTACATTTTCATTGGTTTCCCAATGTTACGTTTATCCAGAGAAAAAATACGGAACAAATGGGAAATTATTTGTTAACGAATTCCTAAATTAATTACCCCTCGATATTGAATATTTGCAATTAGACGGTTGACTCTCATTAGCAGGGTCATTTTTTATTTCTTTTTTTTTGTGATTATGGATTGTTTTCATTACACAGGGGACCACCCATGGGCTTGGTGAACCAGATGTAAAATAATGCAGGGCACATCATAAATTAATTAGGCTCAGCTGCGTAATCACGTTATAAACAGCATGTGTGCACATTTCCAGGGAACAGTGGGTGTGAATCAAAGAGCGCTGGCAGGTTTTCCGTTTCATAATCGGACTGAATTTTCTGCATTGTCTGCGAATGTACGTCAGAAATTACCTCAGATGCATCTCTCAGAATTTAATCCGATAATGAGACCATTCAGATTTGCTATTTCGATTCCTGGAAATTTAAAGGAGTCGTCTTCATATATTCCATATTCTCACACGGGGAGAAAGGTGTAATCAAATTACTCTGACTTTTAGTTATCGTATAACAAATTGCCTGTGATAGTTTTGTTTCTATCAAATTATAATGATAATCATGTTTTTCTAAGACATTTGTAGAAGACAATGGATTTTCTTTTCGTGATAAATAGAAATTCTCATGAATACTGCAATGATTGCGAATGTGGGGAATCATTGTTGAATGCACAATTGGAATTCATTGAATGTCATGATTAGTTATTGGCAGTGAACAAGATTATTCTCTGGCCTGGAAATGCAATTTGTTCTGGTGTTGAACACCTGTTGAAATATTACATAGTGTCAGGATTCTCGATCATGTCCACCCACCAACTTTCCCATTATCGTTATCACAACAATCCGAGACCCGCATTACCTCATTACATTAGATTTAGAAGGATTAGATTTCTTTTTCATCGTCTCTTCATCTCGGAGTTCCTGGAGCCCCTGAAATTCCTGGGATTCCTGGAATTCCTGGAATTCCTGGAGTTAATATATCAGGTGTGACCCAAAAATAGAGTCTCATCCGCTCGATAAAAATCTGCATTTAAATTGCATTTAATCCATAAATTACAAAGACACAGAATTTTTAGTGAATACAATTTTCCGAGAATCATACAAATCTCGTCAGGGATGCTCTGGATTCCTGATGGCGAACCCGAACCTATCCCCCGAATCAATCAAGATTCTTCGGGATTCCAGCGACGTAAGGGAGACAAATGTCGGGCATTTCTCTCAGTCGGAGACAGTCACAGAGATTACTTCAATTTATTGTACAACAATTTTGATGGGATCCGCGATGCGAGCCGCAGTAATTAGAGATGCATCCAGCTCGCCGAGTTATTCAAGTACAGGCGGAGAAAGCCATGCACATGTGCACAACCGAGGGTGAAGGTTACGAGGATAAGCAGGTTAATTAGTCGATTTTTTTTCCATTGAGTTTTCTCACTGACACTGAAGGTATATAACATACATTTAAAATAGAATTTGGATATGTAGAAGAGGAATTTCCAGTAGAAAATTTCTCTCAGTTATAATTTTTGGATTATAACTTTCAAATAAACAACAAACGGGCAGTATTAACTTAGTGATTATTTTAAGGAGATGAGGTGATTGGCGCCTCGGGGTGGTACTCGCGCGGGGGTTGTCGATGCTATATAAGGCGTCGCGACGCTCATCGCACATCAGAACTTGAGCGTTTGGCAACCGCACCGGTCGCGCACCACGTGATAGCTCCATTTCTACAATTTATTATATTTTTTTTTCAATCACTGGGGATGTTCGATTAATTGCAACGATTTGTGTGGATTATTTCGCTGCTGGAGGGATTATACAATTCGTGGTACTGTGGAATTTTCAGCGGCCCTTGTCGCTTGTTAGTGGACAGATTGTTAATTCGTAAAGGGAATTAATTCTCAAACGTGAGTAGAATTTGATTTTTATTGGCCGATTATTTTTTACCGGAAATATTATGCCGGACTACTTTTAATGAAGTACATATGATATCATTCATCCCTTAAATATTCTATTTGATTTTTGGTTATATGGAGTGAATCAATGAATTAATGAATGAATAATTAACTATTTATTTTTTTTAGTGAAGTAGGGATTATAAATAATTATAAATACAACGGTTGAGGGGAATTATATGAGAGAAATTTTATGAAATAAATACACAGAAGGGGAATGTACAATGCGAAGATTAAAATTGAATTTATGTGAATTTTCATGTTGTCGAGTGAAGTAAACATTTCGAAACCATTATCGCTGTTCGGGTTGTATTCCCCGTCGACATGTGACCCATTTGCCTTCGAGCTACCTGGTGGCAAGCCTTCAGGGCTAAACCCAACAGTGAAAACAAGTGGGTTTTGATAGCATTTCCTGGTGGGGTAGGCATTCACCGAGCAACAAGTTTCCGTCGGTTTTCCCCGATAGCAGTTTCCGAGTTTTACCGCAGTTCAGGGGGCCAGCAATGTACGACAAACTATCGGCTTTCATTTCCGGCTTTTATTTTTTCTTTCGCCACAATGGGTGAGAAAATTCCCCAGAACTAAAAATAGTCATGGATTTTTCATTTGTATCCGTATATAAAAAAATATCTGCGGAAATATATGTCAGTTATATTTTTTGGGTCATATTATTTTTCACGGGGAAAACACACATACACGAAATCAACAATTGAGCAATGGAAAATAGTGAATTGAGAAGGAATCAATAATTATTGAAAAATCTGCAGCTCCAGTTATTTTCATTCTTTGCAAAAAAAAAACAAATAAAAAAAAATGAATAAAACAGGAAGAAGAAATAAATCCCCTCGCCGGCGATTTTTTCGCTGGAACGGACCATCAATTTTCATTATTAACCGACTCTTAATCAGATTCCTCGTCACTCACCGGATATTGCTTTCAGTAATAATAAAAATAATAAACAAAATCTCGTATCAGAATAACAATTCTATCCGCCATGGCTGTCTTCCCGATAATAAATAAATCTCACCGTCAATTCACCTATCGGTGTAATCTGTCACGCGAATCTCGGAGGGCGTAAAAATTACATCAGATAAATAGTCACGAGCCTCCGATAGAGAATCATAGATCACAATTTGCCGAGATATTCCCAAAGTAAAAACGTGCTCGCATAAAAAAAAAAGTTCACGTCCGAGTGATTGTACTAATTAAAATAATACATGTCTTATAAGAAGAAAAAAAGAGAAAAAAAAACATTAGATTAAATGGTGCTGTATTGATTCAGTGAGTACTCACTGAAGAGAATTCGATTCGTCCTCCAATTAATTACATTTTGCAACATCAATTCGAAGAAGACTACTCAATCTCCACTCTCTAGGGATATCTAATTAAAGCTAACTACCTCGATCAACTGCGAAGTCACCGAAGGGCTTGCATATCGGCGTTGATCAATATTTCACGTGTGTCACCCATAATGAGTCCTCCGATGGAGGAGAACAAACAGACCCTTGACAGTATTTCCACCCTCAAAATATTGAAACAACATGCGAGGGCCGAGTAATTGTGTAAACGTTTCAACGGAGTAATTAAAGCCACAAGTGTCCACTGAACAATAGAATTCGGTGATAGAACCGTATTATGTTTGTCAATTTTAACGCTTGATGTACTGAGACCCAACGAGCACTTCATGCCTAACTTCCATTACAATTAAACTTGCCACATCTTCCAACCATAATAATCCCCACCCTGAGAGCTCACTCTAAATGCAAATAGCAATACATCCGCGATTTAAACTTTTGCCATTCAGATGTGGTATCTTCTTCCTGTAACCTGTTGTCTGGCTCTCTTCCACACCGTCACCTCCAGAACAGAACCCCTGGACTTCACCAAGATAGATCGTCAAAACGAAATGCTCATCCCCTCCGAGAGTATGACCCAACCGAAGGATCTCACCAGCTTAAAACTTCTCCCCCAACGATTACAGGAAATTGATTCTGACGGTGCAAGTGATTTGCAAAATTGGAACAGAATCGGAAGATATAATCCCCAGGTATCAACCGGAGAGAACACGCCACTCGATGGCATTGATACCGCAGTATTCGATCAATTAGGTGAGTTATCTTTTTTATGAATTATTCAGTCACCGATACACGATGCATGCGCTATCTCGATAAAATCCGACTCGTTCAATTAAGGCGGTGGCCATGTGGGTGGGAAAATCCATACTCGAGTATGTCAATGGTTTTTTTTTCTGGTAATCTCCACAAAAACCACCCCCGCATGGCGAAAACATCCAGAATTACTTACAGTGCAAGTTCGAGATGATTACGCCCTTTCAAATCCCCAATTCTCATTCTCACACGTCTCGTTCTGCTACATCAATTTTTTTCAAATCCCATTACTTAAATTTCCATCGTCACTGAATGATGATCATTAATCGAAAATGTTTCATCAATTTTGCGACGAATGAAAAGAAAATTTTTAGGAAGTAGTCATCATCAATTATGATCAGTCCTGATCGAAAATTCATGGATTTAGTTAATAATTATCGGTGATGATGATTTTTTTTTTCGATGATTTTCTCGGGTGCAGATGACACAGTACCTGAGGATTTTGAGGAAGTCAAGCTCAATGGTCTGTCAACGTATCTGTCATCGCTGCTACGTCAGCCCTCCTGGAACACACCCCTGATAATCCTCGAGGATCCTGGAATCCCTGAGGACCTCCAGGGGGACATGGATATACGTCCCATCCTGAAGAGATCGCGGTACAACAGTCGCTACACCTGGAAACGTCAGAACGGCAGGTAAAACATAATGTATAATGAGCTTTCAATGGTGATGATTGCCCTCCAGTTGCTTACTTTCACGTGCTTATAGATCCCGAAACACCTATGATTATGATTCGGCACACCTGTGCACACCGTCTCGCGAGGATGTCTATCAGTTGCTGGTGGCACTGCATGATGTACGTCAGGGAAATAAATCTCGAACTGTTCAGTACTGCAATCGTCGACGGCCTGTCAATACTGTTTTCACTAATATTCGCTTTCTTGGTCGTCGAAAGTAGTTTGGCACGAGCTCCAAATTACTCTAACATCATTTACAGCTCAATGAGATAATTGTGGAGATTGGAAGCGAGCTCGGGCTCATTGGTGTAATTATCGACTCATTATCGTCAGTTGCATTGCATTAATTCTTCTGTTGTTCAATTAAAATTTCCCACTTGCTCATAAGAATTATTGCAGTAATAAAAAAATGTCTGCACGATTTTAACGATACATCAGGCTTCTTTATGAATTTTTAATGCATACAATTTATCATTGTACTCTGGATTTTCCTATTTGGAATGTTATAGTTTAGTTGAGGAATTTTTTAATTAACAAAATTACAGGTGTACACCTCTGACTTGATGCTCGCGTAATTTTTCAGACGACCTGCGTTGAACTCGGAAGTAATAGCGCGCTATATTTACCTCACGAAAGAAAGATGATTTAAATGAATCTTAAAAGTCTGTAATCATGATGAATCGTCTCGATTGCACATAACAATTGTCCAATTGTCTATTTTTGTTGAAGTTTCAATTGAGATGAAACTACCGTGGGTTAATTCCAGTCAGGACAATCAAGGTGACACTTTTAATTGTTGAATGACGTTAAATCATCGTAATCGCGTGATTAATGAACTATAGATAAATACAAACCTCAGCTACTTGTTTTACCAATTGTTGCAAATTAGAATCACAGGTATAGACGGTGTCTATCGAACGGCCTCTCCAGAATGATAATTAAACGTTGATGAATACCCATAAGTATTACGAAGTGTCAAACGATTTTAATTCAGATTGTCAATAAAATAATTATAAGTGCTCTGACTCTTTCATTAAATCCACATTCCTCCATTGTACAAATTCACCGATAAATTATAATACAGTGCAATAAAAAATGATAATTTAACAATTAAGTACAAAAAAATAAAATAAAGCTATAGAATTTAATGATAATAAATTAATAGTTAACGATTCGCCTCGACTTGACATGGCAGCTGCGTGAAACCGATGGTAAATCCCCTTCCCGTTCCAAATCCATCGGAACTGAATCGAATATCGATGGAGTTGCTCCCCGGAAAGCCAAGAAGTGCTGGAAGCCAAACAATTACTTTTAATTAATTAAATACTTTTTTAATTTACCACGTCACGACATTTACTTTTGCATTTCCCTCTAAACCAACATTTTTTAGATCGACGAATGTTTAACGTAATTGTAAAAATAGAATTGTTTATTTCACTGCTATTTTGTTATTAATTAAAGAAATAGGGGAATAGGGGAACGTCAAGTCGATGAATTCTTACTTTTGCTCCCAGCCAATGTTCTCCCACAGAATTTCGTATTCTGTCCACTGATGCTGACGGAGTCCTTGACACACCCTGGACTGGACTCCACGTCGAATTCTAGGAATGATAATTGGAGTCGACACTCCGCAGGTGCTCTATAAAACCTCCAACACTTATTCACATTGTTGGGATAAGGGCTGGGGTAAAACGGCGAGGAGAGAATTCCCTCGAGAACAGAAACAGTTTCGCAATTCTCTGAACTCGGAGGAATTCCATTACCCGGAGGATACGCCGGTAAATTTCCCGGTAAATTTCCACCCCCTGGATAATTCCCTGGAAAATTTCCACCCCCTGGATAATTCCCCGGAAAATTTCCACCCCCTGGATAATTCCCCGGTAAATTTCCACCCCCTGGATAATTCCCCGGTAAATTTCCACCCCCTGGATAATTCCCCGGAAAATTTCCACCCCCAGGATAATTTCCTGGGAAGTTCCCTGGAGAATTAGGTGATGCATCGCCAGGATAACTAGGAGGAAGATATCCCCCTGGATGAATGGGGTAGCGACCCCCTGGGGTGCACCTGGTGCCCTTGAGGTACACTTCCTTGACAGCGAGGGTCCAATCGATGAAACTTAAAGCCTGACACCTAGTCGTTGAGAAGAACCCTGAATGTCCACCAGCTTGCCCGGACAGCCCTCCACCGAGATCAAGGGGTGTACTCGGTCTAGGGTAGGAGTACCCGAGGTCCCTCTTCCCCCTGGCAGTGCCATTCACCTCCTTTTTACTCCTCGCCAACTGAGGATATCTAGAAGAATAAAAAAAATTCAACGAATTGTCAATAACGAGTAGCAATAAATAAATTCAATAACCTGTTGTAAGAGCAGGTCTCCTGGACGACGTCAATAACAAACCCATTGAGCTTTGTTCTCGGGAAGCCGACATACCGCACCCTAAAAGTCTTCACCAGAGGGCTGTATACGTTGGAGATGACGGTGATGCCCGTTCTACACCCGCAGTATCGTTTCCCATCGATCTCCAGGTGTCCATTGCTGCAGAGGGGATCCTCGCCACCGAGATTGAAGAACTTGAAGTGCAAACGCAGACGACAGACACTCGGGGAGCTCGGAGCGATATTATAATTGCATTCATAGGCATTTCCGTTGTAAAGGAGGTGGGGAAATCCAGGACTGCTCAGGATAAATCTGGGTGATGAGAAAAGATTTCCACAGCATTCTCCTGATCTCGGTGTAATTCCTGGGAAGTATGCACCAGGATTTTGCGTTGGGACGAATCCACTTGGCCTTGGGACAATCGGCAGGTTATTACGCGGTGGGAGAGGGTTCAGGGGAGGATTTGGGGGAGGATTTGGGAGAGGATTTGGGAGAGGATTTGGGAGAGGATTTGGGAGAGGATTTGGGAGAGGATTTGGTCGAGAATTTGGTGGAGGAAATGGTGAACCTGGCTGACCATAGGTTGTCGCTGGATATAAAGGATAATTATTACCCAGTTCTTGAGGATTTAATTTGTTGTGGCAATCAATCTCTCGGTCCAACACTTCCCCAGTATTTATCGAGGTGATGGGGTGATTGAAGGAACCTGGGAGACCGTAGGATGATATTCCGAGGTGCTCCGACAGGGAACCGAAGTCTTCTAATCGGGATAATTTACTCTCTGTTGCCGATTGTCGGGATGTTGATGGAAATTGATCTAATTGACGGGGTTTGAAGGGTGGAATTCGCCCGGGGGTAGGGAGTTCGAGATGTGAGGGAAGGGAGAGGTTGTCGGTGTCGGGAGCGGCGAAAAAGTACGAGGATATTTTCGCGGGACGCGAGAAATCCGTTTTTCGGGGCTGCGAGGCTTTGGGGGAGGATTTCGCGGATTCTGTGGTGGAGGAAGGGGTTGGGCGGTAGACCGGGTGGTGGTTGTTCCTCGGGAGTTGCTGATCGGGTAGAGGCTCCACCGGCAGCGGTTCCACTTCGGGAATCGAATTCTCCTCGAGATTCTCATTAATTCTGTGTGCGTGCAATGTCCTGTAATCAGGGGATCGTACTTTTTAATGGCACGAGCTAAAATCTATTTAGTATTTACAATTTTTTGCACAATTTTGGATATGAATTATTTATTTATTCAGTCTGGATAATTTTACGTAGGACTGGGTTAAGGAAAAAATTTTTAAATAGAGGAAAAATAAATTATCAGTTAATATTGATCCTTTTTTTCTTGTCTTCAATTAAATCAGAACTTACGAATTTCCCGAAGGACAGGGCAACGTTGTCACAGCAATTTTAAAGCCCCTCCCACCCTGTACTCCATTTTTTCCACTGTGAAATCGAATAGTCAAGCTATTATCCTTGCCAGGATACCTCCGAATTCCTCCAACGCGTCCACAGAATAAACTTCTGTCACCAATCTCCACGAAATCCCCTTGGCAGTTCTCGGAGGGTCTCAGTGAGAAATCCAAAAACTGGAGATGGAAAATCTGATTGCACTTGGCATGAGGACTCCCTCGCAGAACATAAATACACTCTAAATTCTCCGAATAATTCTGAGGATAATTCGGAGATACTATTGTGTACTCGTATCCCGAGTAATCACCGCCGCAAGTACTAATGGTAGTCTGGTAATTGGTTTTCGCACTGAAGGCGCATTTTATTAGAAATAGAGTAAGAAAACACCGGTGAAACATCTCGAGGAGGTCTCATCGATCGTCACTGGATGGTAGAAAAAATTACACTGATTCACAATGAGCTAGTGCTGATACTCTTATGACATCCTGTATTTGTTACAGTCAAATATTTCCAGGTTTTCACTCGAATGTCTGCCCCACTCATTTCCCTTTTCATTTGGCTGTTTGAGGAGTGATGAGATATGTCAAAGAGACGGGAGTGGCAGAGGATGTGTGTAGAAATCGGTGTGTTGAAAAATCATGTATGAATCCGGGACATGACGTGTACCTAGGTCAGACTCTCTACGTGCCTCTGTCTTTCATCGTCAAAGACCATCAAATTTTCTAGATAACGAGATCGAGAGATAGGGCATCTGACACGTTCACAGAAATCTTAAATCGTATTTTTTTAACCAAAAATTGTTGTTCTTATGAACAACAATTCCAACTGAATTTACAACACTTCAAAATCATCAAATAACCAACTATTTGATCAATTAAATTTTTTATCAGATAACATAAATAATTATACGCTTAATGACAGAGTTACATAAAATTATCCAATAAAAATTATTCGCATCGTTTTATTTATTGTCTTTGAATTGATAGAAAATTGTTTACAATGAATATTACTGAACGTATAAAATACTGCATAACAATTAACAATTATCCGTTAATTTCTCCACCAACGTGCGTTTTTTGTCACTCCTCTTTCGTAATTAGAACCGAAAACCGATACTCGCAGTCTAAAGTTTCGAGGTGATGTCCTTCCGATTCAACTGCGCGTAGATAATACCCGACGGTTTGTCAACTGGTAAATAAACCTCTTTATTCTCTCCTTCTACGAGTTTCGGAAATTTGCTCAAGTCGAGGTCGAAGTAGTGCTTATTAGGCATTCGCATTTCGATGCTGTAAATCTATAGAGAAGTCGTCAGAATAAATAGTCATGTACTCCCTAAAACCTTGTGTACACTGAGAAAAAAGCATCTTTTACCCAAAAAAAATAAAAGAATGGCTAGAAACCAGAGAATATTCACAAAATAATTCATAATATTGAAATCAAAGGATTTATTTGAAAATAGATCATTTGATTTTCGTATAATTTTTTTTCTGGCTGTAATTTTTCTCAATGCAGGTAACAATTTAAATGAATGAATAAAAGAAGATTTAATGCTCACCTGGTTAACCTTGTCGAGGACACATTTTTCAGCTAGGTACAGGGTATTCTGGACACTTGGTGAGTAAATACCAGTGGTAGGTGGTCCAGCGAAATTCTGGAGGATGCAATCGCGGACAGTTGTCCACACCCCGTCGAAATTAACACCTGATGCTGTGGAGAAGTCCCAGGAGGCTGTTACCACTGTACTAAATATCCGGTCATTTGCATCGGGCAATGTGCGGTATTCATCCTGAATGAAATCTGTGAATGAGCTCTGTGTTGTCTTCAGCACGCGCAGGTCTTTCAAACCACCTCGAATTCTTGGAGAGTCTGAAAATGAATGGAGAGTTTCTCTGGTGATGTTAATTCTCCGACGCATTTCGAATGGGATTATTCATGGAGTCTTTATGCATTTGAATAGCATTATTAAGTATTCATTCAAGTATTCATTCCATTTTTGTGATTGCATGCGCGGAAAATTGCGATTATTCCCAACCACGACTGAACTTTTTCTTGGGAAAATTCTGTTCGACTTTTCAAATTATTGTGAAATCATCTCAATTATGGCGGGGCTGGACAATGCCACGTGAATATTCAGTGTTTCGGGGAAAATTGAGGAATATTTGAGGGGCCGGGGACTTGACGAGAATTTTAAAAGAACTCCCATGAGAAATTCAAACGGAATTCTCGGGATTGCGTAAGCTAATGCTTATACCAACGATTTTAGAAGAAAATCTCCGAAGTTTTTACTGTGATGTTAAAAAAATAAAATTCCAGGGAAATTTGACAGGAAATTCAGTAAAAAATGTTATTAACCTCGAGTTTGAATAATTAATTGAATTTGCGAAAGAAGAATCACGGAGACCGTGAATGAGATTTTCGGTACGTGAACATGAGTTCTGTAATTTTGAAAAAATATTTATCTTCCTGCCCCCCAAAAAACCGGAAGTGACGTCTCCTTGGAATTCCGGTCGGTCTATCTCTGAGACAACGCAAACACCAATTGACCAATTACCATTTCTCAATTGCGTCACTTGACAGTATCTTCTCGTTGTCGGATTGAATATGAAGGCATGATTATGTGGTACACCGTTAACCTGGTGACGCATCCACGGATACTCCTCGACGTTGACGTGGACTTCCTCGACGTGTTTATAGGTGTAGAGAAAGTGCGCGCAGAGAAGGATACCAAATTCTTCCGGCGATTTAACGCCGTATTTCTTTGCCAAGAGATAAACAGTATTTTTTTGACTGTCAGTGGCAATTATGTCACGATTGTCACCCTCGAGGTAGTCCTTCTGGGAGCCCAAACGGAGGTGAATGTCCACCTCGTATTCCCGAATTTCATGGTTATATTTGTCCTCGCGTTTTACGTAAAGTAGTTTCACATTATTTTTCCCGTAGCCATACGTCCCGATCTCGTATTTATCCCTAAAAAATACAAATTATCGTTACACCCACATCATTCGTTTGAACTAAATAATTTTTTTATCTATACAATAGTAACTTGAGAATAATAATCATAAATAATGACTGAAATCGCTATTTTAAATAGATAAATACATAAATGTTGATTTTTTTTTGTGTAATTCGTATAAAATTAATGAGTTAATTAATGAATTTCACAGAAGTATCATTCAAAATTTTTCACTTCAAATACCTGTCATGATCCCGACTAGCACTGGGATTGGGCTGCACCGGATATCGAATAAAATTTTTAGCATCCTCTCGTTCATTGCCATCCCCTGGGAATGGGACACTCTGTCTCCTGCCTCGAAAGGCCGATTCCCTAGAAGATTCAGGACAGGTCCTGCCCATGATGGACAGGGAACCATCAGCAAGTGCCCCAAAACGACTCATTGCGGTAAATAATCGAGAAGTCACGGTCCGAGAAGATTGCACTTGAAATTTCTAATTACGATCTCCTCGATCGACTGTTTATAACTAAACATCAACCCACGTATATACAGCCACCCTGCTCTGCCCCCTTCCCGTATTTTACACCAAAAAAATAAATACATAAAGATAACAACAATCCGACTTCGACGATGACCCCTGGACGGCGCACTTTAACGTCTAATTCATTATCGCAGATTAGTCTAATCTATGTTCCCACCATCACGGAGAATTCAACGAACGCGCGTCTCTAGTGATTACCGATATTTTCGAAATTTCCGATTCGTCGAGATTGCGAGACTTATCGAGATGCTCAAAATCAATTAATTGTACAATTTATCCTGACGATTTGTTGGTAATTAAACTAAATTCATTACAATCAATAAATTAAAAATGCACACCGCGAGAAAGCCGAGGCAAGCGCATCTTTTAAAAATGATTTTCACTAGATATTTTTTGGAACTGAAAGAAATAAAATATCGCTACTATTTTTTAGTTCCTTTTTTTTTACGTAAAGTTAGATTTTGTTAACTGAACTGAATTAATTATTTATTCAATTTTATCATTCAATCCATTGGTATGGATTTTATTTGGAGAATTCATTTCATCACGTTTCATACACTTTTGAGGCATCACGCGCTCCTTTCTTTTTCAATTTCATTCTTTTTTTCATTTCCCGCGACTCATAGTGCAGGATTATCCCGAGCCCTTCATCTAGAGATATTCCTTGTCTCATAAATTTCAGGTTCTGAGAAGATTAGTACTTCGGGGTAAAAACATTGAAATCACGTTCAAGTGTCATATCTTCACGCTTACCCCCGCTTTATCATTTCCAAGTTGAACATTTTTAGAGAATTGCATAACATGTTCCCAGAAGCCGATAATAACTCTAGTGTGTTATTAATAAATCGAAAAATTTGTAGAGTTAGATTTAATGAATTGGATTTCTCGGAGATCAGAATTGTGTACAAACAAACAAGAGAACTTTGAGTTTTCCGTTTTGTCATGAGAAAATGACAGTTTTCCGAGGAATTTTAAGTGACGGAGTGATTGAGAATTTCATATAAATTTTGTGCCTCTGTTATCATAATTATTTTCAATTATTAATCAAAGAGAAATCGAGAACATCGTAAAATCATTTTTTTCAACTTCCACAAGTGGAAATGTTAATTTTCATTTCTCTAAATTCTTTAAAATTAAAGTGTCAATTAGCGGGATGGGAAAAACCGTTGTCACGAATCTTATCACTTTGTATTAATAGATAATTGATGAGAAGTGAGTAACAGAAATTTTCCGACCAAAGTTCTCGCATGCGCCTGGCACGCGAACGAGATAATGCATTCTCAGATAATGAAAAAAAAACAGCCAAAAATTTAATAATGTCTAACCAGTTCTAGCCAGTCGGAATGATTAAATTTTATCATTTCGCTACAAAGTCAAAGTGATTGTTTTATTTGTGCATCGGTATCTCATCCACGCGCCTCGAATCGAGTGAGTCATTACTGAGATGATCCACATTATGAGAAATTCGTAGACAATCTAGTTATTGTCACTCAATTTTTGAAGACTAATGTATCATTTATCCTCTTCATTAATTACCATAATCTACGACTGCAGCTATTGACTGAAAATCACAATTTCGAGAGATTGAACTGGATTGCTGACGTTTTCTAATTGGCGAAAGATTAGGTCTCAATTTCTGTAATCAATGAATTCTAGGAAATAATCATTTTAAATAATCAATAGAAAAACAGATAAACAAAATTGACGTCCACTTCTCGTTAATCCACAGGAGGGAAGAACTCCCCTGCGATCGGGTCAACATAATAGTTATAATTTTCGCAATAACAATCTGCGCACGATAACGAAAATTATAAACAAATTTCTCGACATTGGAATTTCGTAATGAGCAATCCGAGAAATGTGAGGCTTTTGCTTTTCACATATCGCGGTTCTATTGAAACATATCTGATGTCGCAAAGTGTTAAATTTCTTAAGTTATTAATTATCTGTTAATTACTTGGTATTTGTCTTGTTAAGCGTGCGATTTTCGAAAGTATTGAACAATTTTCGTGGAAACCAAAATTTTTTAGTTATAGGAATCATCAGATATATCATAAATCAGGAGTGATAAATAAAAAATATTTTTTCTTTTCTCCATCCAATTGTTCAAACATTTCGCATCTTCATTTGCGAATATTCGATTCATATCATATTACTAGAAGAGAAATTTTTAATGTCCAGTGACTTACTTGAAGATCACTGGACGCTTGAATGTTCTCCACTTATTTTCCACTGGTGAAGACTTCTCGTTTTAGCTACCCAATCTCCTCGGTTCCCGTTATTTTATCTGTAGCTTTCTTTATCGACAATCTCGGCCTCGTGCCCTACCTTATTCACGGGTACCACCGCTGATGTAGTACCGTAGCCGCCGCTACGAAATTTTTCGGTTGAACCACTGCCATTCGCGTTAGCAATTTCCACAATTTTCAAGGTTATGAGAGAGAATTGTACACAAAACCATGTGTCAGGCTTACTCCCTTGATTCACAGACTCGTCCTAAAATCAAGGATTGATACCAAAATAATATTCTCCTGCCCTATTGACTCAGTGACATTATTAATTTTAGATTGAAAGCAGTAAATTTTGCGTTGAGAGAATGGAAGACACTCGTGCGGACGTGGAATCAGCAATTAATATCAAAGACGAGAATTCTGAACGAATTTCTAATTCAGGTGATGCTCAGGGTAATCTTGAGTTGGAAAAAATTGTGGGTAATTTAAGTAAGAGACAGCTGAAGAGGATAAAGAAAAAAGAGATGTGGCTGTTAAGAAAGGCAGACAAGAGGTAACCATTCGATGTTAATAAAATAAGTCTCAAGTTTTTCAATTAATTAAGCCGATTTTTGAAGGCTTAAGGAACGACAGAAGACAAGAGAAAAAAGGGCATTTGCTCGGGCAAATAATATCGACTTGGGACCATCGAGGAAGGCCTTGAAAAAATGTACGATGGCGGATAGTCCTTGCAAAGTTACTGTTACCATCGATATGTCGTTCGATTCTCTCATGATCGATAAAGATATAGCCAAATTAATTAAACAAATTTTGAGGTGTTATACGCTGAATCGGCGGGCACTGGCTCCTGTGCAGTTCTCTGTTACTGGCTTCAGTGGCAAGTCCAAACAGGAGATGGAGAAACACAATGGATATCAGCATTGGGATGTAAGTCGGAGAATTTAAAAATATAATGCTCGTTCAATCCAGCTAATTTCGCCACGCCACCGCTTCTTGCGCAGATCCTTTCCGTTCCATCACGTTCCAAAGACTAAAATCTCTTCGCTCCTCAGCTGCTTCTTCTGGTCCACTCGATTCCTCCTCGTGTCGAATAATAAAAATTCTCCAGTCCTGCAGCCTTCTTTATAGACTGTTGTAACGCTGTGATTGGCCCAAAATTCATAGTGGGGGTTAAATGTAGAGGCTCATGTCAAACATGCGCACACGAGTGAATCGCAGATTTTCAAGTTTCAAAAGATTGCAATAGAAACGAAACTCCGCGAGGGGCCTCTCGTTACGGTCCGTGCGAGTTGATATACAGGAGTGAATCATTGCCAAAAATTCAGTCACGCAGTCGGATCCACAGCGGTATCGTCGGGAAAAGGAGAGGAGCACTGCAGGAGAATCTTGAGAAATAATATTTTAAAACCAGGAAATCTCAAATTCGCCGGGGAAAATGGAATTCGCTCCTGCACATTCCTTCTTCCAGTCTCTCTCCTCGGTCCGTGGGGGTTAATATCCCTGAGTAAATCTCGGATAAAAATTCAGTGGCGCGATCGGTTCGACAAGGCTGCGCAAAGGAGAAGAGCAAACCAAGATGACCTTGGGAAATAATATTCTAAAACTAACCAATCTCAATTTCGCTGGATAAAATCGGATAAAGGAACTAAAGCTAATTAACTAACAAATCTGAATTTCGCCAGAGAAAATAAAATTCGCGCCTTCGCACAAATTAATAGTCCTGAGTAATTAATGTCGAAAGATGCAGTTACGCGATCGGTTTTGCAGCGGCTCCATACGAAAACGGAAGCAAGTGAAGCCGATGATTGGTTTTTTTTTATAGGTAAATTTCCAGTCGCAATCGTACTTGGAGGTTTATGACTCGAAGAAGATTATTTATCTAACTTCAGAATCGGATAATGTGATCGATACTTTGCAAGAAGATTTTGTGTATGTGATTGGTGGACTAGTCGATCATAATCAACAGAAGGTATATCCTAGTGATTTCATTTTATTTACTTGTTATATTTCTAATCATAATTATAGTATATTTTGAATACCGTTCTCATATTTTTCATCTATTATTCTCGTCTATTTCTCAGGGGTTATGCCATGAATTAGCACAGAAAGCTAACGTAGCTCATGCTCGTCTGCCCCTCGACAAATTTCTTAAGATGAAGAGTCGAAAAGTTTTAACGATAGATCACGGTATGTCAATTAATGACTAATGTAAGAATTATCAAAGTTTAAATTATTTATAATTGACATGAAAGCAAGCATTTTGTACACTGAATTTCTTCACCAACAATTTATTCTCAGAAGGTCATTTTTTTTTATTTATAAAAAAACATGCACCTTTTCGGTTTAGATTCTTATCTGTGAAAATTTATTTCCTTCGAATTCCACAATAATCACGCTAACGTGGCACATTAAATTATGTTTCAGTCTTCGAAATTCTCCTGAGGGTGACGGAAGGCATCACCTGGCAAGACGCCTTTCTGCAGGTCCTTCCCCTCCGCAAAAACGCTGAACCCATGTCGTCCCCAGAAAATGTCCCCTCTGAGACTGTCACCCTAGACGTCACTGGATCACCCGAAAAAATGGACTCCAAATAGGTACACGAATATTGAAATTTTTTATTCCTCCTCCCAAAAACGTACATGTGAACGTCATCACATATAATCTAGCCACATATTTAAAAATATATCGATACGCATACAGAACGTGTATGTACATATATTCATATATGTAAAAATTTTGAAATCATACGTGCGAATAAATAACTTCTATCATAATTTCTGTAGCCAAATGAAGTGAGATAAGTCAAATTTACAATTAGTCTTAATTATTCATGGTTTATATCTGGAAACAGTTAACATGAATGTAATTTTGGATTTATCTCAATTAACCATTTGGTTACTGATTTTTCCATCGGTCGTAGACACTCGTTTTGAGGAAGTATAAGCATTAAGCGTCATGTCTCCACGAGAAATTCTCGTTGTTCCACTCAATATTAGGCATTTTTACAAAAAAAAAATACCGGATTCAAACCGCCTCTTGTATCGACTGTACAGGGAAATTAAACAGGCCTTCGAATGCGTGGATAATTGCGAAAATAAAATCATTTATGGGTGAGACCCTTTGTACAAAGTGGTTGATTGATTTTTTATTGACAGGATCTCCGCCAATATCAATTTATCTCTTGTCTGTCCCTTAATCACATCTAATGAAACAAATCCAGTAGCGAAATAGTATACCAATCGAATTTTCTGTCCTTAATTATCGTTACATCCAAAAGCTATCGATTTGACAAGGAAACGTTAAAATCAATCATTTCCCAAATAAATCGATATATTTCAGAACTCATCTCACTCTACCACTTTGCTACAGAATTTGTTCGGTGAAAAAGAAATAGTTTTTTATTAGACATAAATTCCTCAGCGGGTGAAAAATATTCCTGAGCACGAATCATCAATTAATTCGTCAATTCGTAAAATCAATAGTTATATCTAAATTGCTGATCGCCATTAATTCCTGTTGAGGCACAATCAACATTCATAATGACAATAACAAATACCGAACTGTTAAACCTAGATCCAAGTAAATGTTCAATTCCTGCACTTTTTTTATCCCAAGAGCATTGATACGCACCCCAAATACTACAATTATCATCCTAATAATCTAAAATTGTTGAAATCGGAAAGAATTAGACAGGAAAATTTCTGCGGCACCACGAGACGAAAATCACGATTTGTACAAGGAAAAGCTCATTTCGAACTCTATTAGCTCAAAATAACGCAGAAAAGAAAGAATATAATGGACACATGATTTTCAATGATTCTCAATCGTTTAAGTATTAAAACTACAAGACCAAAAGAATTAGTGGAACCGTAGCGTAGATTTTAAATTAATATCGAGGTACTCGATGGAAATAAGGTCTGAGTGGCATTTAATTATTTAGTTCGGTAACTCAATCACTGATTTAACTATTCGACGGATCGACGTGTCAATGATCTTGGAATTATTTATGATGTCGCGTTAAAATGTGAATTTTCACAATTTGCTGTCGAATCCAGTGATCTCGTGACTATCAATAATTTCGAATTCGCTCTCACTGTCGTCACTGTGGCTCGATGACTCTGAATTTTTCAATTCGAGATCTCCATCGTCATCTGAAGACGAACTCCCTTCAAAATGTCCAGTTTGAATTTTAATATCAACGTCATTGTCACCCTCAGTACTCAATTCCAATTCAGATAGTTCGAGTCCATCCGTGCTGCCATCTTCGTGAGATGGCATTTTCAATCCAATAAGTTCGTCGTCATTAAATGGATCTAAAAATAGGAGAAAAGCTCGTTAGACGCCAACACAGGCGAAACAATTATTATAGATATTATTCCTAATAATTTGACGACCACTATTATTCGAATTTCTATCTTGCAGCATTTCCACAATTTATCCTCGAAGTAGAATCCCATTGTTCATATTAAAATAACGAAAGCAATACGTATCAATTAAATGACACGAATGAATTTTTTGAACGAACAGAAGATTATAAAATTCTCGTTGAGATGAAATAATTTAAATTCATTGATAATGAAAAATGGTTTAAAAGAATAGGCGATTATTATCCGACCATTTGGAGTTTTGGAACCATTTGCGGGGGTTGGCGAATGATCTCCATCCTCTCCCGCTCTCTCAAGAACTTCGAGATTATCCTCTGTCACTGCTGGTAAAAATTCCTCGATTTCATTGTCCCATTCTGTCGAACGAAAGTTAAAATTATCGGGAGAATGGATGTTGCAATCCTGTAATTTGCCGAACAGTACCTTTCGTTGGGAAAATTTTACCCGGTAACCGGAGTAATAACACAGGTCCCAATAAAATACTCATACATAACGTATATGTAAGAAGAATTCCACTGATTGCGCGTCCTATAAACCACAGCACCACGGACGTCGCGCAAACACCAACGCAGAACTGAAAATTAATTAAATTTTTTATTAAAAACTAGAGGAGAAGAAAATCGGATGATTTTATAGTATAATTACCACTCCGGGTTGATTTTCTCGCAATTCTCTTAAGCCATCGCACGTCGACTTGACTTTAGCGATTATTTTTTCGATTTTCTCCGGTTGGGGGTGGACTCTGGCAAAATTTCAATACGCGTTGTTTAATTAATTATGAATAATCAAGAATTATCTGTAGAAATGGCTCTGACAAACATTTCGTTGTTTCCTTTCGTTTCAGAGATATTTACACAACAGAAGAGCTAAGACAATCTTCTTTTGTGACTTCTCTACTTATTTTAACGTTTACTTATTGCTCACATTGTGGAATCCGATACGCCTTTCTCTTTATCAACTTGCGCCTCCAGGGTACTGTAACAGAGGATCACAACGAGTGCGGCACTGCTGGCCGCAGCAAAACCACGGATCTCCAATACAATTATCCCCCTGAAAAACGCGAAATTAATTTCGTCAATTCATCTTAGAGACTATTAATTCCGAGAGAAATAAAAAAAAAAATTGCAACGCCTGAAACGTTATTTTCCTCGAAACTCTGAACCCGAACTCATGTCTCAACAAAAAACATGTTTACCATTCACATCATCTGGCACGTGCCCGAACGAAATTGCAAAACCTAAACTACAACTATCATTGACACTTACCCAACATTGGGTAAACAATTTAATCGAGTCATTGACAATCTCGTGATTGAAATAACGCGTTATATCGGTGTCTGGGTCATTGCTACCCCGGGAAAAAAAAAACGCCCACTCCATCCAAAAAAAAGTGAAGCCAAAAAAAAAGGAGTGACACAGCCACGTGATTCTCCTGCATCGAACGATCTTCTAATTACCATTCGATACAATTCCTCCAGTCAGACTTATTGACACTCATCGCTGCGTCACTAGAAAACGCGAGTGCAAAATATTTATCATTCCCATCTCGATAATTTCAGTGCCTGAATCATGATAATCAAACATTGTTATCGATTCTCGTCTAACAATTGCATTTTCATCTCGTCCAACTCGTTCGTTTAACAACTTTAAATATGATAAACAATGCTGGTATCCACCAGCTGTTTGAAAACAATTACAAATAGAAAACAATAATTACTTTTTCCAAACAATTACAAGAGAATGGTAAAATAAAACGAGTCGAATTTACGGTTTTATTAAACATCAACGGATCTTAAAAAGTATTGATTTCAAGAAAAAATATCAAAATACATTTTTTGTGGATTTTCAAATTCATAGTTTGCGTCAGAAATCAATAATAAAAAAATATATATACCGATTAAAACAAATTTAAAAATATCCCAAGTGTTGTAATATATAAATCGAATTTCACAGTTTTGTTAACTATCGATCGTTTCAGAAAATTACTCCGCGAGTAGTGAATCATGTGCTAAAAGTGCGGAAACAAGAACCTGAAGAAAAGAAAAAATGAAATTCCCTTATCTCCTCATGATAAAAGATGACAACACCTGCTCAATGAAAACAAAGGAAATATCAAACTCACCAAAACAGAATATTGAATACAATAACGACGGAAATACTGTTGACAGAATTCTCCCACAATAGAATACTCTCCAAAATTTCAAAAATTCTCTTGGAAGTTTGCACACGCCGATCTCCTCTGTTATTCCCAGCAGGAGGTCCATCATTATTCCCAGTGCCCCATGCCCACCGAAAATAACAAGCTATGTTCGACAATTTCTCCATAATAAATAATCAAAGTACTCGCACTCGAAGTAATCAGCACCAGAGTAATGCATATGTTGTCCTACATCAAGTTATCACCTTGCATGATACCATCAGTGCACCTCCCACAACTATTTTTGGTTTTTCACGATGTGCGCAATGCAAATACACGTAAAATCACGAAATTACATGGACAATGAGTAAATTCAGTTACACCCACGCCTCGTAGCTGCGATTTGCCGTTGAATTTACCTCAGCGATCACTTATTACCACCGATAATGACAAAAAATATCCACAACCGTGTCAATTAACCCAGACGTTCTCATCAGAACAGTTCTGTCAACGGCAATGACTCCGACAATTAATAATTCATCAGTTTGTTGTTTCCTGTGAACGTCGGGGAGACACGTGACACACGACGTTTTCGTTGGCTTTTAAAAAACTTCCGTAAACTGCGTAAATGTTTTTATTATAGTTTGCCACTCCGTTGGCACGGGAAAATTGCGATGTTTTTGTGTGCCTGCTGGATGGATTGGGAACCATGTGGTCAATCCCCACTACCCATCATCACTCCCTTGTGCAACGACAACCTCTTCAGGGCCTACAAGGATGTGGTAGTTTTCTTGCCTCATTGGTCGAAAATTGTGTTACGACGCCACGACAACTTGCTGAGAGGAAAATCCCTACTAGTTATTTTTCTCCCCATAGTTTCCATTCTGTGCTGCCATCAATAGGACGAATGGTACATAAATTTAAAAGTCATGCAATCTTCTTTGGATAATTGTAATCCTTGAATGTGTAAATCAAAAATCTGAATTTGTCCAGCAATAAATAAATAAACAAGTTCAATAAAGTATTACAGTGTTTGCAATTATTCAGAGACATCATATGTTCACATGTCATAAACTTTATTGTTTTCTTGCAAATATAAATAGTTATTGCTTTGAGTTTATTTACAAGACAAGGGGATGCATAAAAATGACAATTGTAATCCAGAAGAAAAATTACTTATTACTTTTTCGTTCAGTAATTTTCTTTTCGGGATTTTAATTGGCACGTCAATGTATTCGGACAGACGTTGGTACATTCGGAGATACATGTACACGTATATGTTGATAGTTATACGACAATCTGGGAATTCAGCGCAGTTTTACATCGTGGCCACTAACACAACGCGTTGTTTTTCCAGATAACACTCATACGAATTACATACATATAATCAAAATTCACAATTTTTTGTGTGCAGGACTTTGTGCTTCTCGTTTTCTCCTCGATTTTCACACGCTTTGCAGTATTAGTTATTCATATTCGTACGTTGCGCCCTAAAAATAGGCCGTATGACATCAATTCTTTCATAACTTCTTCAGATAATACTCTTGTGTTGTAAAAAGTCTTGGCGAATTTTTATTCTTCGAGTGGCATTATCAATTAAATAATCTAGCATTATATGGACGTGAGAGTTTTGCTTGAATATGAAAATAAAATTACATTATATTAATGCTCAATTGAATTAGTCTAAGGGTATCCGAATTTAGTGGCAATTTCTCTCATTGAAATTATTTTAGTCTTATCTAGCCTTTCCACGTTTAAATTGTCAATACAAAATTGAAGCGTTCCTGGATATCCTTAAACTGTTTCATCTGCTCGTTTCTGAATTGAAAATAAACGATGAGAATTTAAAAAATTGCGGAAAATCATGATCCATTCTAGTACGTCTTGGCTTTCCATTAAATACAGCATTTCCACATGGAAATAATTATTCACAACATCACATTTAATATTTTTATTTTACCATGGCGATAGATATTTCCTCAGGAACCAATGCGTATTCATCATGACCCCGTTGATTATAAAAATAATTATAGTCATTTCATGACGATGCTTCATTAATCGAGAACGCCCGGCAATTCATATTTATGAATTCGTAATCGTTTAATTACTTCTCGTTAGTACAGTGGATTGAAAAAATAAAAAGCATTCAATCTAATTTTCAGTTCCTTATTCAAATGTTAGTCATATCACAATGATGTGATCGTAGAAAATCTAGACTCTTCGATTGTGCTTCTTTTGGTACATAATTTTCACATTTTACAATTGATAACGTCTTCACAATATCAAGCCACAAATTTAAACAACTCAGTATTCCCCAATGCATTCATCGTGCAATACATTTGTCAATCGATTATCACAGCTACAGAGAACTTTCACGCTTTTTTTCATTTTTATTAACTCCGAATTTACCGGAAAAATATGTGATCGATCCTCTGAATAGCAAGATTTCATTTTCAATATTGATGTTTGGAAAATTCTGATGAGTCAATAGCATTTCCCATGAAAATCCCGTAGGCAGTATATTTAATTATCTCAATTATCATACGTTGTGTTAGTCATTTCGATCGTCAGTATTTTACATCGCTAGTCGAATTTACCTTCAGTTTCAATTTACAAAATATTGCACTTTCCCGATCGCCTCCTTTTTCGACGATTTTTTTCAAGTTCCGTGGGCGGTTGATTCCAGATAATTCGCACAACCTGAAACAAAAAATTGCATATCAAACTCTTTAGTGATTCAATAATTCTCTTTTTACGCTTCCAAGTTCAATTTTCTGAAACGTTAATTTCCATTATCTCGAATTTTTATTACTACAAACATACCTCGTGAAATGCTGCATCTACATTAAGCGGTGGATCCTTCGCGGAAGTCTCGATGTACGGAATACCCAATCTGTGCGCCAACTCTCTGCCTTGCTCTTCAGTAACTTTCCTCAAGTGTACCAAATCCACTTTATTAGCAACTAACAGCATCGGATAAATATCTCTATCCTTGACCCGAAGGATTTGCGTATAAAAATTGACAATATTTTCATAAGATTGTTTATCCGTGACGGAATACACCAGGAGAAATCCATCCCCTTTGCGCATGTATTGCTCTCGCATTGCGCTGAACTCTTCCTGACCAGCTGTATCCAGGACATCGAGGATGCACCACTGTTTGTCCACCTCTGTGTGCTGGATGTAGCTGTCCTCTATCGTTGGATCATAATCCGTGACGAAGAGCTTTTGGAAGAACTGGATCGTCAGAGCACTTTTGCCAACACCTCCGTCACCAACGACCACTAGTTTGAATGTCAGGAGATTCTCATTGTTCGGTGGTCTCGTCATGGTGCCTTTGGCCCTCCCACCACGTCTTTTCGAAGGGGATCGTCCAGTCAACGTCTTCGCAGGGTTTTTAATACGTAAATCAAACGATTACTTGCGATCTATTGTCGATGTCTCGGTTCGATCTGAAATTTGATAAACCAGTACATTTTTTCTGCACCTTTTTGCATTCCACAGGAATTCACAAACCTTCAGAAAAATCATGTTGAAACAGATCGTGGATATCATTTGGAAGGGGTTAGTCAGGGTAATTCAGGTGATGCCTGGAGGAAGGATTAATCTAGGAAAATAAGGGAGAGTACACCTACCTCACATGGAAGATTCTCGTTATCAGTCTGGACCATCCCTCCTGATAGCATCACTTTTTAGTACTGATATGGTTCGTGTCGACTGAAACATCAACTCTGTGATCATGAAAAGTCCTTGAATCTTTCGGTGTTTCGCTTACGGCATTTTGTTCACACTTTTTTCCTGCGTTTCGTCGACCACTGTCTCAACTCTCATCACCCCACCAAATTGACAATTACATTTGCACGAACCCGGTCATAATTCTCAGATGTGTCATGTGAGGTTAAGGCCCGGTTTGACGGATTTTTTTTTCCCCCGAGTGGCGATTTTACGCTCCTCCACTTTACGGTGGAAATAGAAAGCTCGTATCTCCGGTTATTCATGTCGGTAACTCCTGGTGATTTTCACGGGGGATGAAAAAATCACCCCTGGTGAAAAAATCACTCCGGAAAGGAAAAAAAAATTGTTGAAATCGATTGATTAAAAAATTAGTCTAAAGATTTTTTATAGGGATAATAAAAAATGAAAACTCAGGAATGAGTCCATGAGATAATTAAATTCGAATTAAATTTATGTCTCGAATTATGGGAAAACAATTAATTGGGGAGTCATAGCTATTTACCTACGAACATTTATTTCACACTATTTTGTACAGACATGTTTATACTTTTTCCTGTTTCATTCCAAATAGAGTATGAAGATAATGTACAGAATGGAAAACACTGATTCTCTGTCTCCACTTCACTTGCTCATCCAAATGAAACATAATAGGCTGTCGTACTGATTTTTAATCGTAATAATAACATTTGAACAAATAAACAATTCATACCTTCCGTGATATGTCGAACTTCACATTAAATAAAAAATAATCAATTAGCAATTACATCGTACATATTTCGCGCCTAAAACTCCAAAAAAATCCAAATTTGTAATTCCTAAAAACAAGAAAAAAAAACGTGCAACGAATTTCAGAAATTCCTAGATGTAACAGCAATAGTGATAATACAACAATGTGTTTTGAGCTTTTTATAATGACCTAATGATCTCAAATAAATCACCTTTCGGGATGGATTCCACTGTTAGAAGCCCTCGGAGGCTCTGAAAATATCACTAACGAAACAAATAGTCACGCTATTACTAATAAATATGAATAGTAAACCCTTAAAATGGCAGGATATTCCACCCCATTGCACATACTTTGGACGTTATCATTCTCTTCATATCCCAATACTTTTGAATATCATATCACGCATCAATCAGCGTTAATTAATAATCCAGTCAAGAAATCATTGAGCAAACTCCTGTTCAGAGTTGTGGCACACCAATACGTATATTTTCTCTGCAATCTCTACCCTGTTAGATTCATTAGATCGAAACAAAATCAACCAAAACCCCATAATCATAATGATTCCTGTGAAATACATTTTGCAATTTCCAATTTAATCTCAAGACCCAATCTAATTCAGTAAAATGTTCATTAAAAAATTGCCTGTTGTTAAAAAATAGAGAATTCTATTGAATACAATGAAATTAATTTTTTTCCTAACAGTGCAGCCTTTTCATTTTCCGAATTGAAGAATTTTGAGAATTATAGAAATTATCTAGCTGATACCCTTGATTTCCATTCAATTTTCACTCGTCAATTATATTTTGAATTCTGCTCTACGAGATTTCACGAATTCTTCAGATCCATCACTCGAATTAATACCGAGCTACAAAGTTCAATATGAACTCGATGTCTGTTACAATCCTGTGTCTCACAATCATCGAAAGTAATCAGTTATATAAAAATTCGTAATTATAGTAATCCCAATGTGTACACGTCAACGAATGCAGTAGGTACAAGACTTTTATATATCTCCATCGCACGGTATTTGAGTACACGTCTATAATATGATGATTACATTTAAATATAATACTTATTCTCAATACACCGTGATCCCGCAGTTCATGCTATTTGCCCTCTTCATGAAACTGCTCTCTTTGAAAATATGATTTCATCATGTATTTGGCATCTACGGATAAAATACTAGTCATCACTCACTCATTTTATTTTTTTGGGCTTTTAATATCGTTTGAACCTGCAAGTATTTTCAAAGTTTCAGAGACTTTTTCATTTTAATGATTTCAAATTGAGAGCGATACTGGCCCGGTCATGACACCGGCCCCGTTCAATTAAACAACGGATGCACTATAAAATACTGAAGAATGTTCCCAATGTTCACCTCTTTCAGGTCATTAGTATACAAATTGCAACTAGACACGAAATATTCGGCCCCTCGGCATTCATTCATACAAATCTTTGAATCCGATAACTAATCCCTCTAAAGTCATCATCAAAGGTCAAGATATTTCACGTAAGAAAATTCACTGAAAGTTTAAGTGAAAACTTCAACAGCTGCTCAAAAATTTATAAATTCATTGAAATTTCATTGAAATTTCATTGAAATTCCTATTTTACTTATCGACAATAAACACATAAAATGGCAGAGACAAAATTCCGACTCCAGACAATTTAACGTTTAAATAAAAAAAGGGGGAATAATCACCTAAACTCCAGATACACTTAAAAAATATTATCAGCGAGCTGTAGTTTCCAGAGAGACACGGGTCTCGCAAAAACTGTAACCTGTCCCTTCTCCCTACCTCCGATAAGAAAAACATAGAGAGGAGCTGGTGTTGGTGGTGCCTGGCTAGCAGCAAGTTTGGCTTTTTGTCTTTCAGCGCGTGAAGCACTGAGAGCCCTCCTGGAGGGCGAAGTGGAGCCCAGGGGAAGGCTCTTGGGTGGTGCCCTGGGTTGCTTCATCTCCTGGAGCTCCAGGAGTTCCGTAAAAGTCTGCGAGGCCGAGCGGCCTGGTGCGTCCTCCAAAACACTGTCCGGAGGACTATTAAGAATTCTCGCGAATTTCGAGTCCTCAGTGGTCTCCAATCCAAGATAATTCGGATTGCAGAAGCCAAATTGTCCCTCACGTATCGTGGGTGCCCGATGTTTACTCCCCCTCTTCCTGGAGTCGTGTTTATCGAGACACAAGTCGTCGAGGGGATCCCCGGGACTTCTGGCCTCGATACTTGCATAATCTGAGGTTGACTCCTCACCCTCTTCGAGATCGGCGAAGCGAACGGAGGCGGAAGTTGGAAGTCTCGTTGTTGGGGTTTTGGGGCTGTGCACTGCCTCGTACAAATGGGAGCTGTAGCTCTCCCCCCGGGTGGGCTGGCACGCCTGATGAAGACTCTCAAAGTCACCTCGCTCCTCTTCGACATCGATGAGCCTCACATCCTTCCTCGACTCCTGTCGTCCCTCGTTCTCGCTGTCCTCGTCAGGATCCACGAAGACTAGTCTTGCAGCTTCTACCGGTGTGAGCACTGGAGTTGGAAGTGTCAGGGCTCGAAAATTTGGCACTGATATTGGCTCTCTGGTCATTCTCGTGGTCCGGGCCGGTGGCTCGTAGGAATCATTGAACGAAGAGCTTGGATTATTGGCAAAATTTTTCTGTCGTCTCCTGGCCAATGCATTGGCACTCCGAGACTTGACCATTCGACTGTTGAGGCTCGTCTCAGCGAGTTCTGCGTCGACCTGTTGAAATGGATAATACGAGTTGGCCTCCTGGGGCTGGCTGTGCTCATCCTCGTGGTCCTCCTGTCCACTCAGCACTGAGTAGCTGCATTTGTTCGGATGAAGACGTGAGAGATTGATCTGGGAGAGCTTAGAGATCTCCCTGAGGAAGCTCGGTCGTGTGCTGGTGCCGATTGTCCCTGGAGTTTGGCAGTCGTCGACACCAGTATTAGCGATACCTGCCAGGGAAAATCGTGGCTTTCTCGTGGTCTTGCAACGAGTCTCCTGCATGCCATTTCCCCGTATCACGAGCTCTGAGACAGCCAGGGCGACACTCTCAGCTCGTGGCTGGGGCTTTGGTCCCGGTACCAGAAGACGCCCCCAGGTTTCTGTGCCAAAGTGATAGCTCCACAGTTCATTTGTCGCCAGACCTCCACTCTCACCTCCAAAGATCAGCATGCAACTTGGTAAACGACATGCTGCATGTCCGTGAAGGGGACCAGGTCCCTGTTTACTCCTCAGGGGCCACCAGCAACTCGCGTTCACATCCCACCGCCAACAGTCATTTCGCTCCTGCAGATCTGTCATTCCACCGTAGATGTACATCGCATCACAGTGCAAAACTGCTGAGTGCTTGTGACGTGGGGCTGGACCGCTATCACCGGATTGTGATGACAGCAGGTGCCAGGATTCCGTCTCGAAGTGGAAGGACCAGAGCTCCGAGGAACTGCCACGTAGGTCCTGGTAACCACCGTACACCAGCATCTGGCCACGGTGCACCAGGGCTGTATGACCTCGACGACCTCGTGGTACCGCGCATCCTCTCTGGGCGCGAACCTTCCGCCAAGTGTTCGTCTGGTAAAAAAAATATTCAAGTCGCAATTTGAATTTCCGTCGTACTACATTATCGTCTAGTTTTTATTTATTTCAAATAAAATTATCAGAGCCATTGTACCTTGACTGAGTAAACCCACAACGGAGTTTCTGTTCCTGCAGAAAATCCCAATTCACCACCAAAAACGTACAAAGAATCTTTATACGAAACTGCACTGTGCTCCTGGAGGGCTGGAGGTCGTTCTCCACTGGGATGTAATTCCTCCCACCGACTCTCGGCTGGGGAAACAGAATTACAAATCAGGATGAGCAGGGAGATGCAGGTAGAAGGCGTTGAATTTTTCAACGATTTTTGTAACAAGAAACACCCGGGGTGTGAATTTCCCACGATTTTTACCAGCCCAGGAACGTGAACGTGCCTCACGACGAGGCAACATTTTTTATCACTATTGGCCTTGCTAAGAATACACTCTGAAGAGCTCTCACTCTCAGCTCTTCAGGTGCTGTAATTTTTTTATGGGGTGAAGTGGATGTCATCGAGTTTTATTATCTTCATAAAATCACTTCTACCTTTTTTCCATTCTCTCGGGAGTGACTATTAATTATACACTATTCAGCCTCCAGCCGATTCATCAATTCTCTTCTTCATGGAAACCAGGTCAACAGATCAGAATTAATATAACAATTACGGGATAAATAATTCATAAATCCATACAAATTAATGAACGTCGAGTGGAAGAATGAAAATTATAATAAATACTAAACGTTCCAGATGTCAATTGATAATTCATCATTCAAAGCCTTGGATAATTAATTACTTGTCAGGATTATTTCTCGGAAAAATATCATCCAGGGTCTTATTATCCACTGGAATCCATCGATATTCTATGGGTAGACAAGGGCTCGTGACGATGAACTCCCTCATATTGAAATTCAATCACCGAAAGAGGGTTTCGCGCTGAATCAACTCACCCAGGCTATATCTCCATAAATCCCTCAAGGGTAGATTTCCATTTCTTCCCCCGAGAAGGTAAACATGGCCTCCTAGTAACGTCGCACTGTGTTTACTCCTGGAAGGAGGTGCTGGTCCATTTTCCGTGCCGGCGGCTGTCACTGAACTCCACATTTTTTTTAATTTATTAATTCAATAGTTTCTCTGAGTTTCCCTCAATCCCTGGAACAGTGAAAATTTTAATGGTGAAATGCGTGCTATTTTATTTAAAAAATAATAGATCGCGAATTTATATTCTTTTATTTTGTTAATAGACTCAAGGAAAAAGGAAAAATTATACTTTTTCTTTTGTTGACTTCACTCGGAGATATTTTACAGGAGAAAAGCCGATGAATTCTGTTTGTTCTCTTTGAACTGTTCTCTTGAGATTTCTTCTTCGGAGTAAAAGATAAGGGTGAATGAACGTCTACTCAGTGTATTTCACTCTCTTTCTCGAAGTATTCCGACCTTTTCCCTCTTCAGGGGTAGAATAATTCAGGAATGGGGGTGATTTACACGAAGGACGAGTAGATCATCCCCAGGGATGGGTAACATCCCTTCCCGGGAATAATTCACACCGGAAAAAAATGATACATCGTTACTACATTCGTTTGATTTCCCACTTTTCCTCTCGCGAGAAATGTCAACACGTTGAAAAAAAAATTAACTATTCGCTCCCTGATATTCATATAAATATAATCCAATAAAAATAATAACATTAATATTCTTGAATTCCTCACACTAAATTTTTTATTACCGAAGAGATAGATATCGGAATAAAAATCAGATGTCGAATGATTATTCTCTTTCTATCAAAATTTATCTGTTTCAATTTAATTTTATTGCTTTCCTTCATTCATTAATTGTTTACAATATTTTTAATTGCGCTTCTTCCCCCGTGTTGTAACGAGAAATTGTGTTTGTAATGGAGTTGCAGGATATTGTGGCAAAAAATCACGTAATCCTCTAGGAAGTCACGATAGAATTTTTATTAATTCCACCTCTACTATTTAATTGTGACAAGCCTTTGTTTTCCAGTGAAAATTGTCTTTTTCCCGCTTCCTATCATTCGTCACACTCTTCACTCGAGCTTTCAGCACTGAATATGGGACGGCATTCATTAATGCATGGCATGGGACGAGAAAAAAAAAAGTAATGAGTGTAAAGCCCCGGTATATCCTATTAGCCCGTGTAACTCATGACCCACATGTCTCCTGCGGCAATAATATGAGCTCAAGTAACTCATTGATTGTTCTCCGGGCTTTATCATTCCGTGTCATGCAAAAACACGCAAAATCAATTCCTCACGCTGAAAAAATATTCGTAAACAAAATTTCCGGTCGTTACATTCAAATTTTTCGATTTTCAAAACGAAAAATCGACAAGACAATTTTTTAGAAATCAAAAGAAAATTTATATCATCTTTATTATTATTAATTATTATTATTCATGGAAATTTTAAATTCCTGTGTCTCACTCTCGTAAGCAAAAAAATCGCCTGATTTTACTCTCCTAGTGTACGAAAACATCCCCGAAACGAGCGACGTACCAAGTAGATGGTCTCTACGTCGACTGCCCCCCGAAAAATCCCCGACAACCCCCGGAATCCCCGAGGCCAACGTAGAACTCATCGTCAGCATTAAATATTTCATTCGAATTCCCCAACAACTTTCCTCACAAGTTGTCCACGAGTCAGGCCATGGAAGGTCGAAACTAGGATAAACTACTCGCAATTTAAAAATCCATAAATCAAACCTGACGAATAGAAAAAAAAAATGCGCAACAAGCGATGAAGGAACAAATAATTGTATAAATAAAGACCTACCTGTTCTCCATAAATAATGAAAATCTCGACTGGAATATCCAGGCAAGGGGCGATGAACTGCGATCATCGATGCATCATAATATTGACACGAACATGATCTAATCTTCACTTGCTCCCCCCATAATTGGTGTTTATCTAATTAAGCAAATCCCGTGGCACGTGATATCCTGTGGAGGATCTCCTGGTTACTGGGTGAATTATCATAATATATAATAATAATCATTGATGAACGACGAATGCATTTTTGTACGAACCACCAGATTGATTGCTCCCGAGGACTGCGCCCGGGTCGGACGACCGGAGACCCGATGTGGCGTGTCATCGTGAAATCCAACGCACGCGCAAACAACCCCCTTCATCCCCTATTTCAAAGATATTCCCTTTGAGTACATCCCCCGACTCATCCCGACTACCACCGAGGCACACCGACAGGATTAGGTCGTACCTTCGTTCTCAATGCTATCCCAATTTATTCATCTATTTTTTTACTAATAAAAATATCTCTTCATTTTCATTATCATCGTAACGGTTAATTAACAATCTTATTAGCCTCATGAAACGTCAATTTCTTCATGAAAAATCGCAACTACATATGAAGGGAAAAATTGAATTTTCGAATTCGTTAATTCCCAATTCCGAATTCGGAATTCCAAATTTGTGATTGCAGGGGTGAGGGGTCATTACGAGATCAGAAACGGAATTAGAAAATTGAATGGACATTATGATTTTTAATTTCTTAATTAGTACGTTTCGAGAGAGTAATTACCGGGGGAATGGTTATTATAATGAACAAGTTCGAACTGGAAAATTACGAGTTTTTAATTTTTTCATTGCGACGTGAGGAATATTCACTACAAAATTAAAAACGTCAATCGCAGTTACAATTACGAATTAGTAATTAATGAATTATGTTGAAATACCCGTCTGTTACGATTTAATTCTTCCGAGTGATTACAATAAAAAATCCAGGAGACAGTTGTCAGGGATGAAATCGGGATGAAATCGGGATGGAGCAGGAGAAATGGGTCATCCATGATTTTTCGTAATGAAATGGGGGATGATTTTTTTTTCGTAGTGAATGGGGTGACGGTGGAGCGGGTTGCGAGGGCGAATCGAAACTGAATTTGAAGGGGTGCGAAAAATCAGGGGGTAATTGCAATTGTCAGGGAACGCATGCGTCGGCGTCGGTTGTCATGACGACAGAATGCGAGAGGCAACCTCGTGTGGTTGGGTATTGATTATCCGGATATCTCCGGTCCGTCGGCATTCGACGAATCTGTCGTTATCACTGCGTATCATGAAGGTTTCCTCGGGACAGACCCTCAATGCCCTTCGAAATCATGTGAGGGCTCTAATTGGGCTTTTCCACCAGCTGGTGCTGATTTTTTTATTACTCCTTCGGGTTTTATAGGGGATGTTTAGTCGCCGATGACCGAGGATTTCTGGGAAGAGATATTCACCCATTTGTACCGCAGGACGAGGTCCAGGATCACAGGAACTTGAAGAATTTTTATTTTTAACTCATACTTTTTCGATATTACAATAAATTCTGGGAAAAAATATTTTTCCGGTGAATTCATTTACTTCTGGAATTAAATCGATTTATATGAGCAATGGGAATTTTTTATTCTTTCGTTTTCATGTGTTATGCTTATTTATTCAATTTATTTAATAATCCTTTTGTCAATGGAGTAACACGAAGTGACGATATAGACCCACAGAGTACAGCGGAACTAATGACAAATAATTTCGTAAACTAGAGTATCTGCGGAAGTTGATAATTAATTTTCGTTTCGCGTTGTGACAATGTATCGAGGACAAGGACATGTACATGTAAAGGGAGAGGATTTTTTGGCTCTAGCTTATGGAAATTCTTTCCTCCGTGGGAAATTAGATGAAGAAAATTTTCATTGTGATTCTAATTAGATGAGATTTGGATTTTAACTTGAAATATGGGGAAAATAATGGGGCAATAATGACCTAGGTGCAATCTTGTGTTGTAGTTTTGAGAGAGTGTAATTATAATGAGCATGACGAGCCAAAAGTGACACTCTCGTTTTCACTTGGTGCCTTCCTGTCACACTCGGTGAATCCGCAATTTTACTTTTTTTTCTTCGTTCGGGTGATGCCTTGGACTTTCCAGGCGTTCACATCTTTTGCGGAATCCATTTTTAATAATCCGAGTTCGAGTTCAAGTTCATTTTGCACCTAAAAAAATGCCAGTAATTCATCTAATTGTTTATTTCAATTAAACTAGATCCCGAATTTTAATTTCTGATCAGTATTTGAATTATTTATAATCTCGAAAAATTAGTGTGTACACAGTGAATGGGATAGGCTCTTGCATTTAAATAATTCTGATTGCCTCAATAAAAAAATATTTCTGTGTGAGATTTATTAGCAGTTTCTGGTGGTTAAAAAAAGAGAATCTCTGAGTTAAAACTGTCTCTCATATTGGAAAAATGAATGCAAAATTTTGATTTTTTCCAGTCCACGTGAATATGAAAGTCGGGGAACCCTGAAGGGCGATCCTGGGGCAGTAGCTGACGTGTGACCGGTGTATAAATACTGTAACCGGAGAAATTAGAGAGCCAGAAGTTATTTCCACCTCGACCAGTGCAATAACGTCAATCCGGAGGATAAAAAATCGTGCGACAAATGACTTGATAATCATAATCGAAATGTCCCGATACTATTTTTCGTGCCTTATCGCGATAACACTTGTGATCGGATCTCAGGCGGTTTCAGTGCGTCCTGACAGGAATCAAGATGAGCCGATCAAACCCTCACCCATAGACCGGACTCAACAGATCCATGAAAAATCTCTCATATCGCTGGACCCCACAATCGACAATTCAAATTCCAGCAAAAGTAAAAGAGAGCATAACGAAGATGATAAGAGTGATGTGAAATTCGGGAATAATCTCGATCAGAGGGAGAAGGAAATACGAAAGTACTCGGGAGCTTATGGTGATACCGATAAATTGTAATTGATAAGTTCAATTTTATTACTTTCATTTCTAGTGTAAAAAAATATTTAGACGAATAGATTTTTTAATGTCGTGAACAAATCATCTATTTTGTTAAGTTCCCATTGCTGTGGAGCTAGATTCGAAGTGTCCGGTCGTCCATCAGAATCAGGTCAATTCACAACTAGACCATCGGACAGTGATCGGTATCCCAATCGCTTCGGAAATCGACCGGATGATCGGTAAGTTGTTGTAATTAATCTCATTATGCGGAGGATTAATGACTGGTTTAGGTACGGTTGGCAGAATCCACCCGGACGACCTGGTGGGCCATCATTATCCAGCGGAAGTCTCTACGGGAGCCAAGGAAATCCACCTAACAGGTTATCATCGATACTTAATCCACTGGCAAAACAGGATAAGTGCGTTTCCCTCCGGACACTCCGATTTTTTTAATTCAATAATTTTTCATCAATTTAATCTCGAAATTATCGAAAATAAACAAATCTATGGATTTTTTTATTTTTTCGTGCTTTGTACTAGTCTCGATCGGAACAATCACTCGCACTGAACAGAAAAAAAATATATCTCCGCAACCACGCGAGATAATAAAATTTTCATTGAAATGTTTTTTATAGATTTAATTGAGAGCTTGAAAAAATATTATTACAAAAATTTCGCTATCTCCATTATTTTCGGAGATATCTCGGGAAATGCAATTTTGAGTTGCTAATAATTTAATTTCAATGAGTGATGAGCAAATATTTATCTGAAGATATGGATGGCGCCCACCCTACGGTTCCAGTGTAGATTCTGATTATGGGAGACCTCCAGGAGGTATTCGCCCATCGCTTAGTCGACCGGGATATAATTATGGGGACAGTGGGGCCTACGGTAGCAGTGGATTTGAAACGTCTCGTCCAGGAATTCATATCACGGCAGGACCGAGACCTGGAAGTGGTTATGGAATTCATGGGACCATCGGGGAACAGGACGAATTCCCCGGTGATGTCGGACCCGTGGATACACCGCCACTAATGCCTCCCAATATTCACACGCAAAAAGTAATTGTCAATTAATTAAAAAGAAATATTACTTTTAGAAGACAGCAGAAATGAGAAATCGTCTATTTTTTCAATTCAATAATCAGTAATTATTCCATCAGGCAGTTGCACTGAAGGCTCTAGCTGGGGTAGCTCTGCTCGGTGCAGCAGCGGCATTGGCTACGAATCCTGTCCTCTTGCCAGTTGGCATCTTGGCAGGCAGAAGAAAACGAGCGATCGAAAATGCATTTCCCTCCGACGATATCCAATTTCTCTACGGATTCCTGAAAGCCCACGTTCCCGGGATCGACCGAGAGACGACGAGTGAAGAGTTCTGGAAGAAACCCACGTGCATTGCTCGACTCACTTGCGAACTTCAACAGCATTACCTCAGGACCATGAAGAACGACAAATCTTTAGTGCAGAAGGCACCGATTCTGAAGCAGCGATTAGAAAAGCAGATGCAACAGCTGTAAATATTCTTCTTTATTCAGTTTCTTCGGTTTCAGTGGAAATGAGTATCTGATAGAATTTGTTATTTTTTTATCAATAGGTCTAGAGACAAATCGATGGTTTAAAAAAATGTTCAGTTACTAAATAATTCTTATTTCTTCGTTTCAGCATCAAACGTGATATTTTCAAGGCAGAAGACATCAATTACAGTCTCCAGCAGCTTCGAAATATTCCTAATGATAAAGTTCGAGCTCAGAACAGCTGTAGTATCCTCGATTGTGGATTATACGTATCATAATCGTCCCCGCATATTTATCAATGCAATCGAATGTATCATAAATGAAACGATAAGATAATTATCGTAACTAGAGAATAATGCGTATAAAAAAATAAAATGTTATGACCCATGACAATGTTTATTTGGAAAATCAATTAAAACCTATCGGTAGAATTAATTAATTTTAAATTTCACCACCTCCTGTAGTCCAATAACAAATTCTTGAATGAGTTAGTGAGATTATCGAAAAGAAGGTATGTCAATTGGCATTATTTAATGAGTGAAACGCTCATAATAATTATTAATAAGTAGCAATATAATAGATTTTGAATACAAAGTTTTTTTCATAGTAAACGGGCTATGTGAGTTTCTTGGCTTTCTGGTAGAGAGTATCCACGACTTTTCCCATACTGTGTATCGTGTCGAGTGCAATTTCGTAGGTTTTGTCCCTTGGTGTATCCTCGAAGACGATGAGAACACCTTCGCCCTGATCGAGAACTCCTAGAAGTTTTTTATCGAGAATCATTTGGGAGAGTTTCTTTTCAACTTGAGCAAGTGGCAAAGCTATGCAAGAGGCTATGTGGGCAACCTGTACACGTGAGTAGGGCTCAACGAGTCGACATAGATTTTGCTCGAGCATTGTGTCGTAGAGTGATCCCAGATGAGCTCTGACAATAACATCTTCTTCAAGCTCCTGCCGATATGTCTTGACAGCCGATTGAAAATCAGCAAGTGACCGCTTATGACTGGCCTCAGCAACAGATCGCATTGCATCCAAATCACGACCAGCATATTTAACCGCTAGTTTACCGGACATTATTGCCTGGACATCTTCAGGTGTACGGAGCATTATCTTCGATAGTAACATGTATTTTAGAGCAGTCAATGCTTTTGGACTGTCGACACTGTCGTATCCCTCGAATGCCTCATAAAAATATGAATACGCAGTCTTGAAATCTCGTTCATCAGCAGCGTGCAAAATCCCAGACTGCAGATCAAGTGCAGCTTGCATCTTGGGAGGGCAATAAATAGCATTGGCAGTGGTCCTGGCACTGGTCAATGCAGCCCTGGCCTTGGCTAGATTACTCAATGCATGATAGGTCTTCGACTCGAGCAACTGCACTTCGACGAGCAACTGTTTGTCGTCAAGTTTTTTCAACTCCTTGAGGAGGGCTGAGCCCAGCTGCAGGGCTTCACTGAACATTCCAGTGTCGAAATAAAGGGCTATCAATCTAGTCTCCAGGGACTGTCGTAAAAAAGTCCTGCGCTCTTCTTTCGCCCATTCTATGCACTCCTTGCAGAGTTGCACCTGCAAAATGCATGAATAGAAAAATCTTAATTTCTATAACTTCAATGGAAAATATGGTAACACAATTTACTTGATATATTTTACGATTATAAAAATGCCTCGAGTTGACGCATCAAATACAATTTCTGTTTGAATAATGTCTTAGAACAATTGATTTGTGGTTATGTTCGATGGTGCCCTGAGTGCTGCGTCATGAAGTGAAATGACTAGAAAATTACCTCGATACCGATGCCAGCCTCCAGATCCAGGAAGAAGTCGACTAACGATCGCACCAGCTTAGCAGCTTTAGCTTTGCTAATATGACTCAAAAATGGTCTAGTTGCTTTAATAAGATCAGCGAGTTCCTTGGCCTTGCCCTCTTTTTTGTAGAGCTCCCCTAGCTGGAGGATGCCCTGCTCCTTGATGCGAATGCTCTCCTCATCTTCCTCGTCAAGGCCAATACTTGGATTTGAGACTATTTCATTGAGAAGTGTTATTCCTTCACTACGATTTGTTACACAGGCTGCCTGGGCTCTCTCGAACAACATCGCACCAGCCATTTTACCACTCTTATTTCGGAGTTCCTCGAGGTACCGGAGCTCTTCAAACACTAGAACCAGGGGTTTCTCTGGTTTAGAGGGGATTAGGGATTTTTTTAAAGGGGTTTTTAGATATTGATAACCACTGATTGCCGGTGAACACGATCTTTCGTTGATGAAGCACTCGGGGTTACTTCCAGGGTATCACTGGGGATTTTTTTTTCAGACTTTGGAGACTTGGGATTTCTAGAGTGGAGGGACAAGTTTTTTGGAGCGATCGACAGTTTTCACAAAATATTTCGTGACCTCTTACCGTTTTTTATCAACGCTTCGGGCTTTTCATCAATCAGTCACCATCATCTAGGCTTCGACTATATGATTTATATGACTATATAGAAGGCGTTCAGGCAAAACTCGTGTCATGGCGCTACGGGAGTCAAACGAGAGCCTTGCGCAGAGGATTGACTAAAGTAGAGGCTCAGTCAAAGAGCATTGACTAAACTAGAGGCTTAGTTCTGGAGGTTTAGGTGACTCCAAAGGCATCGTAGTACTTCACCTCAAGAGAGAGGGGGTGCCACACGCAATCCCGGGGTGTCTGCGGTGAGCAGAGGGCTAATTCGCCCTCATTCCGGATCTGCGGTCCGTCGGCAACTCAGAACTGTTCGCTTCTCCAGGGAATTCCCATTATTGCGAGATTGGTGAGTTTTTCAAAAAGTTTTTCAAGTGCCAATATTTCAAAAATGAAATTATTTTATTATTGTGTAATTAATTTAAAAATTATTGCGTAATTAATTTAATTGTTCCGCCGAATATTATTGGAATTTTTTTAATAATTAGGGATTATGTATAATTATAATTGTCAATATTTTATTACATAAATTTATTCATTAAACTCCTCCACGAATTAAAAAACAATATTACAATTTCCTCTGCCCCCGATTCCTTGATAATTCCACGGGAAAAAATTAAATGGGTATCGGAAGCTCTTTGGCGGCCATCACGAGGATCTGATCGATCCCGAGACACCAGTTCTGAATATTTTTGGAGGTTTTACACCAGTATTCACCGTGATGAGGCTCTGCTGCGATACACCTCTTCTTGACGTCCTCCTGCTGCTCTTCAGTGCCATTGAGTAATTCAAACTTATAAAAATACGCCCAAGAGTCCCCTAAATCCGGATCGATCTTGACAGTCCTGTTGAACCAATCCCTGCACTTGCTGATTTTGTGCTCACACCAGAATAGCTTGGAAACAGCCAATAGAACATGAGGATCATGCTCGCACTTCTTGAGAGCATCAACACTCTTCGTCTTTCTCTGGGGCCTGGGCTCCATGAAGAGTGCCTCAGCCCAAAGGAGTCCAGAATTTGGGCACTCCTGCAGTCCCTTAGCCATAAGCGTGTGGGCCATATCCCTGACACCGCCAGGCTTCATTTCATTTCTCACAGCCTCCAGCCAGAGCTCAGCATTCTTAGGATTTCTCAGTCTAGCCTTCTCCAGGACAGACCTGGCCTTAGTGATGTGCCCATTGCGCCTCTCAAGATCAGCAAGAAGTCTCCACAGTGCTATAGCAGTGGGACACTTCTTGATCCCCTGATTATAAGTGTCAAGAGCCTGACTGAGTTGTCCCTGTTGCTCCTCAATCTGTCCCTTCATCATCCAGAGCTTCTCAAATCCCTCAAAACTCTTGAGTGCTTCCTTGAGTAAACTAATAGCCCCATCGAGATTATCCAGTGCCCACTCGAGTTTCGCACTCTTCATGAGAACCCTGGGGGTTGGTGCAGATGCCCTGGCCTTGGCCAGAAGTCTCCTGGCCCTCTCGTACTCCGAGTTCTCAGACTCTAGTTTGACAGCAGCCAGCCAGATTTCCTCGGAATTAGGATTCGCCTGGAATGCCAGAGACAATATACCCCGAGCTGCTGGAACGTCATTAGCCAGCCACTTGGATTTCGCCCCCATGAGCCAAAGTACTTCACTCTTGGGGCAATGGGCAACAGCTCTCTGCAACAGACTCTCCAAAGACTCCCTCGTGCCATAAGTCTTCTCGAAGTATGCTGCCCTCAACCAGATGGATTTTTTACTGGGGAAAGTTGCCAGGGCAAAACCGTAGACCGCCCTGGCGCACTCCAAAGCCCCCTGCTGGGCACAGGTCTCAGCATCCTCCATCCATGTGTGCTTCCTATCCTCCTCCTCCACACCAAATCCGATAATTGCTTTGACAATCACCTGGCATGTGTGAATAGCCCCAGCCTTTTCAGTCTCCATGGCATCTTTGAACCAGTGCTCCCTGTTGATCTCGACACCATTGGCACTCAATGATGAGATTGCCCTGTCAATGATCTTCTCTACCATGTGCTTGTTGCCATTAGCCTCTTCCAGTTTTGCAGCTGTTGTCCAGATCTGCCTGTCAGTGGGAATGTTCTCCCTGGCTTTATTCAATACCTTTCTTGCATTGTCATAGGTCTCGAGCCTTGCAAGTGCCAGCCAGAGATCAACAGAGGTCGGACAACACTCAACAGCTCGACTCAGAAGAATTTTTGCGTCTTCAGGCTCCTCGAGCTCCACCGCTGCCTTCCAGAGGCGAACCGAATTGGGGATGTGCTCGAGCGCTTTTCTGTAGACTCTCCTCTTGGCTTTCGTCTCGACTTCCAGATCGGCAGCTTTTATCCAGATCCTGACAGACGTCGGTATGTGTCTGACTGACTGAGCGATCACTGCCTTCGCTGTGTCAGGGGGTTGGAGTCTCGCTGCCTCCAGCCAGAGGTCTTCAGACGTTGGATTCACCTCGCAGCCCTTCATTATGAGGTTTCTCGCTGCCTGGACTTTCCCTGTGACCTCCTCCAGGCGAGCTGAGGCTATCCACGCTGGTGGATGATTGGGATTTGTCTCTCGAACGGATTTTAAAAGCAGTCGGGCTTTCTTGATATCATTTATGTCCCCACCGTACGTAGGGATCATGCTCTGGAGGTCTGTGAGGTAGCCCTTGGGGTCCACAACTGTCTGGCCCTCCACTGAATCCGAGACTTGATTTAGTTTGACGTTCATCAGGGTATTCCTGGCTTGCCCAATTTTTCTGAGATCGAGATCTCCTGTTGGTGTCAGCATCCCTGGAGTCGCAACCCCTGGCATCATCGAAGCCAAACCACTCGAGGGATCGATGCTCGTTGTCGATTCACCTCCCAGATTTCGCGCTAAAACTGAATCTGGAAGAGGCGTGAATTTCTCAGCCCGAGGATTTCGCTGCTTTCGATTGCGAGCATCACCCACTTCTGGGACATTTTTCCACTCGTCCTCACTGACATTCACCAGCTCTCGTTTCAAATCAGAAAACTGCTGCTGGATCTTGGGGCGTTCCTGACGATAACGTTCCAGCTCCTCGCGGAGGCGTTTCTCTCGGTATTCCTTTCGTTTCTCGTCCATACGTTTGTCAATGGCTTCGTAAATTGCGTCTGCCTCCTCGTCATCCTTGTCGTACGGATCCTTGCTGAAGAGGGAACCTCCGTACCCGGAGAACTCATCGTAGTTCGAGTCATTCAGATCCTCCTCTTCCTCCTCCTCCTCGTCTTTCTTCTTTGTACGTTTTGTCGGGGGTGCGTGACGATCATCCGAGACATCATTTGCATCTCGGGCTGGACCGATATCCGAACGAGTTGTAAATCCTGTCGCTCTGGGGGATAAAGATATCTAAGATTACAACACAGTGGAGAATGTATGGTAAATGTTAGGTTAAATCGAGTCCCCAACGTGATGAGAACGTTTTGAAATCGAGAACGGCAAGCATTACTTAACCATCAATATCTCAATGGAATTCCAAATGGAGATAATTCTGTTGAACAATTAAAACAAAAATATAATAACTCACCCTCTTCCAACACCAGCAACATATCCAAGTGGTGCTGGAACCCCCAGAAAATGTTTTTTATTCCTTGTTGACAGGGATGATGACGGTACAGCCATTTTTCAACACATGTATCAGCCAGACAATCGATACATCGAATCCCTCGAATCGTCGAATTCTCGAATCATCGAATTCTCGAATCATCGAATTCTCGAATCCTCGACTCCTGGTGGTTCGACTCTCAACTAGGAATAGCTCGGCTGATAACAAATGATTATTTCCTCCTTTTGTCTTCTATTCAACAAAAATCCGTCGGCACTGACTAAAATCAGGTAAATTCTCATTTAATTAATTTCTTTTATCAAATGATTACCTATTTACGTGCTTATGATGTCGAGGGATTTTTTTTAATGTATATTGTGTATATGCAATGGTCCCCTCCCCATTTTTATTGTCTCCAACATTTAACCGAAGTCTCCAAAGTCTTGAACCCACCGCTTTCGCCAGAGAACCCGTTGACTATCTACCCTAGAGGTCGCGATAGTTTTTACAGTTATATTCCAATATTTTTTTAAGGTACTCAGGCATTTACTCATTATTTTCATTCATGCATTGGTTACATCTGTGATTGGTGATTTTCTGTTTTTACTGGAGGCATGTAAGAGATAATTACAAGTTCATTATGAGTTATTGTTAGTGTGGATTCACTTCAGGATTTTACCGACAATTTTACACGCGACACCGCCTTTTCATTATTCATACTGCAGAGATAGACCGTATACGCCCTGATAGGTGATATTTTCTTTATCGTAATTATATTCATTGGGTTATTCAGCCTTTGTCGGAGTTTTTTTTTCGGTGGGGAACGTACGGTTTAATCAGGGGTTTGTATAAAAAATTTAGGTTGTGGAATAGAGAGAATAGAGAATTGATGATTATTGGGAATTCGGACTGTTGAGGGGAAAGGTGAAAATTATTTTGACAGGTGTTGTGTCAATAATGATTCACTGTGGAAATTTAGATGATCGCGAATAGGGCTTCGGGGACAAAGCCATCGGTTGTGTTAATTGTTCTTAAGAATGTGAGAGATAAGTCGTCGAAAGGAATGAGTCACTTTAATTGGATAATGAGTTTTTTTACGGATATCTTGGAATCCGTGGGAGATAGCGATTGCGATAAAGAAACTTTTTTATAGCAAAGATGAAGAGCTACAAAAAAGTCTCCATAAAAAATTTTCTAACTTTTCTGGATTCCGAGATATATTTTAAGTACTGATCTCAGTTTTATTCTATTTTTATTTATCGAAAGTTCATTTTTCAGCATATCTTCGGATCTACCGGAGATCATGAAATATTTGTGGGACCTTTTTTTTAGCTTTCATTATTCTGTAGAAAAAGTTTGAAATGAAAATTTTACTGTTTCTAATAGTTATCGAGATATTCCAGAAAATCGAGTCATTTCTGTTGTGGATTTTCTCATGCATTTAATGAATGAGTTATTATGTTGGTTTAATTGTTTGTTCAGATTTTCAAACAAAACATGGCCAAGAAGCCGGGGACTACTCAGGCTCTTCATAAAGTGATAATGGTTGGTAGTGGAGGTGTGGGAAAGTCAGCTTTAACACTTCAATTCATGTACGATGAGGTATGGGAATGAAGAACAATTCATTCAGATAAATGTAGAATGCCTGATGATTATAATTAATTTTTTCACAAGTTTGTGGAGGACTACGAGCCAACGAAAGCTGATTCGTACAGGAAGAAAGTTGTCCTAGATGGTGAGGAAGTACAAATTGATATACTAGATACTGCTGGTCAAGAGGATTATGCTGCTATCAGGGACAATTACTTTCGCAGTGGAGAGGGTTTCCTCTGCGTTTTCTCCATTACTGAGGACGACAGTTTTCAGGCCACTCAAGAGTTTAGGTGAACATTAAATTTCAATTAATTATTTATAAAAAAAAGACTCACTTGTCGCTAAAAAGTCTGTGAATAATGTATGATTGATTGCAGGGAACAAATTCTAAGAGTTAAAAACGACGAAAACATTCCCTTTTTACTAGTCGGTAACAAGAGTGATCTCCAGGAGAAGCGAAAAGTGAGTCTGGCAGAGGCTCAAGCTAGATCTCAACAGTGGGGTGTACCCTACGTTGAAACGAGCGCGAAGACTAAAGAGAATGTCGACAAGGTACAGATAAATTTTAATCACTCAATTATCAATGATTCAATCATTATCGTACTCTGCTTAACTCACTGCAGCATCAGAAGGCTGTCAACGCTGTTCATGCCATTGAAAGTTTTATTTTATTTTTCTATGTGATTGCATCACCTTGCACTGTTTTTCAGGTATTTTTCGATTTGATGCGCGAAATAAGATCACGTAAGATTGAAGATAAATCCGCGAGTAACGGTCGTGGAAAAGACCGCGCTAAAAGGAAGAAAAAGAAGTGCATTGTTCTATAGGTTGGCCGCTTTTATTTTTTTTACCCGTGCTTATTCTATTTATTTTCCTTTAGCCTATGCTAATTAGTGGCGAAGTGTTAAAACGTAATTTTGAAGCTCTAATAGTTTTTCCACTTTTGTCCCACATCAGAATTTTTCGAAATGTGGAGTATCAGGCAATTAAATTCTATTTTCGATTCGATCATTTCTGTTTACTGTGTGTTTATCAACGTGAGAATATCGACTCATTCGTTTCCACTCTGTTACGTGTTATCACTTCACTACACAATTTTCTTCTGATCCATCATCACATCATGTGTAAAACAGAGCCTTGCTCATGCTTCTGTGTAAATAATAATTTTACATGTGGTGTAATGAAAAAATTGTTAGATAGACTTTTCTACCGACTGTCCGCATGTTGATGTTCCCCATCAAATAAAAATAGATTAGAATAGAAAGTCATTACCCCAATCCATTTAAACTGAGATTCCCGTATTTAATAGTATACCCCAAATTATTTTTCAGGTATTCTTTGATTTAATGCAATCAATCGCAACGCGCAAAGCGCGTGAGAATCAAATTGAAGGAGCTGAACGTAAAAATAATAAACGTTGTTGCATCCTCCTCTAACAACACCCGGAATAAGCTTTTATTATCGTTTCAGACAAAGTACGTTAAATATAGTTACATATACATACATAAATATATATTTTTTGCATATTATTTAAAGAAAAAAAACATTGACTAAACACCATTTTCATCTTATTCACTTACGTATGTAAGACATGAGTGAATGTGAACGAGTGAACGGGTCCATTTGAATGCGCTTGTAAACAGGTATTTGCAATACTTTGCAGCGAATTGATGCATTATCCCTACCTCCAAACATACGCGAGGGACCTATCGAACGATTCAACATTCAATATTCTAAATCGAATAATTTCACGACGTGCATCATAATTTTTGTAAAATTTCCGATGAAAAATTCTACATGCGACGACGACTTGACATGTAGTGGATGAACTAAATCAATGGAAGAGCGAAAGAATAAACTAAATGCCACGAAGCAATTCACCTTTATGTAACCATCGTCACCGAGCGTTCTCAATTTTTTGCCTTTTGTGCAATCGAAGAAAACAAAAAAATACTTCGCGAATACTCACCTTTTCGTTGTAAAGCTTGTGAACCTAGCTAACTTCTCATTTTTGTATATATTTTGTATGTCTTTAATACACAATAAATTTAATGGTCGCAGCTGGAGAATATTTATTCAATCTACTATTAAATTTCATAAACATTAAATTCAATTTATTACTGTAAAAATCCACCTAATGATTTTGTACAAGTTTTCATTGTCCTTACGTACAGATATTTACAAATTCACCAAAATTTTTCTATTAAAGCCCATTTGAACGTAACAACATGAAAAAGAAAACTAAGTAGAAAGTGAAATATTAATTGCTGCATTCCCCATGAAGCATCATCAACATAATCCCAGAGCTATGAGATCTCTATCGAAATAATGGCAAGTCCCTCTCAAGTGTATTCACACAAATGTCCACAGCCAGTGGGACATTGTCTATTCCCCTTGAACCACTCCCTCATGTGCACAACGTGTCCCCCATGTGTGCAGCCTTGACACCAGGCGTACACCCCCCGGACAACCTGATGGCAAATGGAGCACAGGGCGTGCCTGGATGTGTGACACCTGTCGCAGAGCCAGGCAGCCCTCTGCAGAGGTTTACCACAGGCTGTGCAGCAGGCATGAACTGTTGTAGATTGCTGATTGAGCTGAGACACTGATGGTATCCACGCCAGCTGAATAATCTGTGTAATAACATCATACAGCTTAAACCTCCCCAGCATGTCAATATACTCCAGGAGCCAGTGCTCCTGGAGGGCACTCTCAATATTCAAGTCCCTCCTGCGATCCCCAAGAGCAATGAGAACAGAAGCTGCTGTCTGCACATCTCTCACAGCAGCATGATGCCTCAGGGCTTCCTCGACGAGGTGTGCAGGATTCCAGAACATCGGTTTAGGGATAGCAGTGACAATCAGCTGACACGGCTGATCCTCAACAGTCACCGAGCCAGCGTCGTCATTAACCTCGGGTGAATTATTTGGAAATTGTTCTGGAGGTGGTGATCTGTCCTGGATCTCGTGTCTCAGGGGAAATGCTTCCTTTGGGAGAGTCCAATCACTCTCGTTGTTCATCATATTCTCGAGATAATCCCCAGGGTAATCCATGGATATTGTCTCGGTCTCGAGTTCTCCTTCCCCGAAGAAGAAATCTCCTCTTGGCCTCTTGTGTCCATTCAACAGCTTTCGGTAATCTGGAATCGAGCCGATTGCACCGACGTGCAGGTAATTGTGATTCTCGGGTGTCTCGTCGGTCTCGGTCTCGTCGTCACCTCCACTGATTCCACCGAAGTCACGGGGATCCCCCTGGAGAGATCTCACGTCGTTCTCGTGGAGGTGAACTGACTGAGTCTGCGATGTGTGATCTAGACCAGAGGATAGTGTCAGTTGCGTCAAATTCAAGGGATTTGTCAGCACTGGGTCGTCCTTGGTGGCTGGGGTCTTCAGAATGCTACCGTTGGGGCTCGCGTAGAGGGTTTTTATGATTCTCCAGACTGTACTGACGTCGTTCCTACCACATTTTGTTGCTACTAAAGCATTATGATCACACACGTCGTTCAATTTCCCGTTGAGGATATAACCTTGGGCGCAGAATTTAAAACACTTTGACTCGTGCTCCCGAGACTCTGAGATCGTGGAGACCAGTCTCGTGAACCTGTGGAGAACACTAGAGGCCATGCAGAAGGTGTCACTGCTGGCCGGTACTTTCCTCATCATCCCAGCGAGTTTAACTGTAGCAGTGACATTTGGATTGACCTTGCAGGCATAAGCAACGTCCCCCTGAACATTGAGAGCAATCCCCTGGGGATTAGCCTTGCTAGCCGGCCTGGTGGCGTCCGTGAATACATGATGATAAAGAGTGCAGTCTCTACTGGTAGACAGAAATGACTGGGGATCGCCTCGCCAAGCAACACCAGTGGGTACATCCTTGTGCTCATTGAAGCTTGCAAAAGGGATGTAGGGTCTCCTGACATCCCAAATATTGATGCTGCAGTCTACAACGAGGGCGCAACTTGCGATGTGATACTTTCTCTGTGGTCTCCACCGAATTCTTCCCACCGAGGCTATCGTGTGGATTGTGTAGTCACAGGTGGGCTTCACCGAGAGGTCCCACACCTTGATCGTTTTATCTCGAGAGGCGGTTGCCAGCCATGTGGACTCTGGATGCCAGTCACACGCAAAAATCGGTCCACTATGGGCTGTAAAGTGCTGAAAATAACGATCAGATCGACGCAGATCCCACTGCTGCACGTGGCCGTTCTCAGAGACTGCAGCAAATGTCTGGGGCTGATGTGGAGAGAACTGTACGTCTCTGACAGATTCCGTGTTGCTGTAGAAGGTCTTTGTTGCCTCTTTTGTGCGCAGGTCAAAGTATTTCATGGTACCGTCCTGAGAGCCTGAGATCAGGCAAGTGGGCTCGGTCATGTGGAAGCTCACTTTGTTCACTGTGCGTTTGTGATCTGCGAAGACGTGATCCTGCTTGGAGCGAGATGCTTTATTCAGGTTCCACACGACAACTGCACCATTGGTTGCTGCTGTCGCCAGGACGTGATCGTCCAGCAAATTCCAGGCTACATCGTTGCAGGAAAAATTCAAGTTGAGATTCTTACCGACTCGAAGATTGCACGCCTCCTCGAACTTGTCGTCTAGTAGTGTGAATATTTTGAATACATTTCTACCGGCAATGACAACCTGAGAATTATCTTTGTTCAGGGCTAGAGCATTCGCTGGACTCTCTTGAGTTATGAATACTGTTTTTGAAGTCATTTTTTCACCGGTTTCAAGCGCACTGAGATCATGATTCACGCCATTCGGAGGTAACACTTTGCTCGCAGAACATCATTATGTACAATAATTTCTAGTGATTTGTGTTTACATTGGGTGGTGTACAATAAACAAACAGTGTTTGGGGGTCGGTGGAAGTGGTGGAAGTCACGCACTGACAGCGCTACTTGTCGAACAGCTGATCGGCTCGGAGCGGTTCGGCGGATTTCGGAACAGAGGGCTTTTCTGTTTTCAGAAGTGCAAAACAAACTTTATTTCGCACTATTTCGACATCATCACATCTCTGTTCTCAGTTTATCTGGTTTGTCTCTGATTCAATCGAGGGTATTTCAAATTCATTTTTTGGTGATATGGCTAACATCGTGGGAAGCCCTCAATTTGCTCTTAAAATGAAAACCAGAGAGGCAGTGAAAAAAATCAAGTCTGGAAGCCCAAAATTCCAAGAGGTCTTGAGACAGGTTAGAAGAGTTCCCTAATTCCTTTGGAAACAATGGAAAAATCGATAAAGAAATAGTAAAGTAAAATTAGAAAATAGAGTATATTTTTTTATGTCGATTTTATTCAGATGTTCAAACACCACTCAATTGCAAATGACAATCTATTCGATTTCAAATAAATCCAAATAAATAGAGTTCTTTCTCTTTATAATTCGCACGGATTGATCTCAATCCTTCAATTTATTAATTTTATTTCTGGGGCTCAGAGATGCCGTGATAGAATGCGAGAGAAACGTCGGGTATTGTTCGACGCGAGGAGAGCAGGTGTTTTTCAAAATAATTCCGAGAGTATTCAGGAGACCCTTACGGAAATAGTACGTCAAGAATTGAGTGATTTAACGACTATCAGTGTTGATAACAACACTGGGAATTCTGAAATTTTCAACGAGCCACTCACCGAGGAGGAGATCTTCGAGCTCGAAGCAGAAATGTTGGCTGATGAAGGTTTATTTAATTTTTTATTCTAGAAATTGAAAATAATTTTAATAGAATTTATAAAGAAAATACTGCATCTTCTCGTAAATTTGTGTATTCGTGTTTTTACGATTTTTTAATTCCAGAGCAATGGATTTTCCAAGAGTATGAGAAAATTCTGGAGAACGATGATGAGATGCTGAAGGCATACGTGGAGGAGAGCCTCAAGGCCTCGGTTGTCTGTCCCATCTGTGAGAAATCAGGGCTCACGGAAAATCCTGGATCGTTCCAGTGTCCAGCTTGCAAATTGTGCCTGCCAGCTAGATGCAGTCTGTCCCAATTGGCAAACACCATCGAGAGCCAATTAGCTGCTCACTCCAGGGCTTGTCCAGGTCAGACCTTGTTCCTGACTCTTCCAGAGAACTACACACTCTCCCTGTATGTCACATGTGAGACTTGTCAATGCTTCTCTCTGATTTTGTAAAGACGACTAAAAATTAATTCTGTACATTCCATTTTTATTGTCCCTGGGACAATTTTTGACTGTACCTTCATAAAATTAGGATCAACTGTATTAGAATACTCAGAATTAAATTCTGGATTCGTGGTGATTCCAATGTGTGATTTATGGTCAGTGAGTGTGCCATTGACTGAATAATTTGTTATTATGTACCACTAGATCCTAATGATTTCAATAAACATTTTCTATTTCTGTAGATGAGAGTTATACCAACATTTTTCAGCAAAATTCCTCTCTGCAATAATCAATTATTAATATTGATAATTAACAAATTTTTTGCGAGTAATTTTTTGCCCTTCATAGAAGCATGGGGGTTTAATGATCCCGATGAAATAAATTCATGCTTTTGATATTCTCAAAAAAAATTTAATTCAACAATAATTATTCAGTAATTATTCAGTTATGCTAGCATTGAAAAATTAATTAAACAGTCCATACGCCAGCTGCTAAGATATTAAATTTACACTGCTGGAATTGATTTAAATCTTACATAACCTTTGTAACTCACTTCTGAATGTTTTGAATTAATTAAAAAGTTCATCAAAGTCCTCATTAATCTACAAAAATGCAGAAAAAGGGAAAATTAATCGAATGCTCATTAATTTCTCAAAAGAGAGAATTTAACAAAATAGTCTCATCGAAAAATGACAAAGTTGGTAATTCTTCAGTGTCAAAAGAGATAAATTCCGCGTAAATTACTGGTCATTGAAATATCCAAGTTCCTTCGTTTTTAATTTCCGGAGTAATTTTCCATCGACACAATTTCAATTACTGAAGAGTGCAATCTCTTTATTATAATTATTCCTCTAATCCTCATCTCCAGGATCTCTGAATAAACAAATCAATAAATAATGTGGAACCTCTATATTCACCATCCACAATAAAAAAAAATGACCGCCCCCTGAATTTTCCAATCTACCCACCCAATCAATTTTCACTTCCCGTCTGGAGCACCTGCTCCTGCAGCTCCGCAAACCTCGCCTGAAGGCTCCTCTCTCTCTCGACCTGTCGATTGACATCTTCACTGAGTGCATTGACCCTCCTATCGAGTGCAACCTTCTCCTGTTTCTGAAGGAACTCAAAAGTCGACAACTCTAGCTGTGCCTGTTCGATCTGTTCATAAATATCATGCAACTGTTTCGTGAGGACTTGATCCCTTGTCTGATACCCTCCCATCATAATCTTGAGTTTTTTCTCCTTCTTTGCAGCGAGTTTAGCAGCTCCAGTCATGTGTCCCCTGTTCTCCTCGAGAATTCTCTCAGCAGCTTCGATTTTCTCCTTCTTCGACGCTACGTTCGCTCTCGTGAATTTCTTCTGGCCTTCCAAAAATAAAATCTGAGAGGAGCACTCCTCCCACACAGTGGTATACGCCTCAAGACTCAACTCCCCATGTCCCATACCTTTCTTCACTACCTCCATCTCATCAGAAATTAGAGTCTTAGCCACGTCAAGGTCATTCCTCTCAAAATCATCATAAGGATGATGATCGAGATAGTTCTGTGCCATTGCAACGAGAGCATTTCCACGTTTCGAATTGATTATCGTAGGATTCTGAACAGCATCATACTGCATCATTGTTAACATTTCTCTCTTGATCAGCTCCTCAGCAATCTGCTGATCAGTTAGCCCCGAGTCCCGGGCTGGTTTAAGGTTCCTCAGACTGACATCGACACCCCTCAGAATATTCAAGTTAACTTCCGTAGGTCTTGGCAGATTCCTCTGAATAACTTGAGACCTCTTCGCTATTTCCCTGGCTCTCTGCTCCAGGAGTTCCTGTTGCCTCCTGGCATCAATATCAGCCTGGTCCTCAACCCCAACATCCATCTGACTACTGCCCCCATCGTCCTGGTCTTCATTTTCAGGAATAACAATCTGAAAATCATTCTTCGGTACTGGAAGCGCGCTCAGTCCCAACTTCAGTTGTTCTTTCGTCTGTTTCTGAAGTGCTGGGGTCTCAGTTCCCTCGAGACCAGCGTCTGGATTAATATTCAGTTTATCCCTGACCGGAGTTGCTGTTAGAATACCATTTTGGGTCCTGGCAGAAGCTGGTGTATTGAATCCAGAATTCAGAGGTGTCCCATCACTTCTGGTGGATCTGAATGGAGTTGCCAGGACAGTATTGGGAGTTGCAATGGCAGTAGAAGAAGGTACAACGCTACTGAAATCAACATTGTGGAGAGGAGTGTTAAGACCGCCCTTGAGGGGTGTATCAACGTGTGTAAGAGCCATGACGTTCTGGGCCTCCTGGAGAACACGATCAGTAACAGCTGGAGTGCGAGGTGTCACTCCAGCACTTGGTGTGAGGGAGTAATCCGCGAGAAGACTATCCGAAAGTGTTATTCCACTCTCAGTGGCGACTTCTCGTGCTACCTCTGAGGCACGACCCAGTTTCACAACCTGCTGGAGCTCCTGATCAGATATCTGGGGCTCTGGAAGCACCAGTTTGCTCCTCTTCTTCACAGGCTCCTCATTATTCAACATCCCCATGGGTATATCATTCTCCTTTCTCTGCTTGAGCTTCTGTTTATCCTTCTTTCTGTCCTGCTCCTCCTTGTCAGCCCTCAGTTCGCCATCTAGATGCTGCTGCCTCATCCTGGAGAAATCCGCAGCCAGTGGATCAATGTGCTCAGTACTGGTATCGTAAAATCCGATGGCCGGACGTTTCTCGAAGGGTATCTCGGTGTTATAGTTGACCCCTCGTTTTCGCTTGTTCTTCTGGTTCACTGTGATTCCAGCAGCTCTCAATTCCCTTCTCTTCTGGAGTGCAGCAAGTCTCCTGGCTTCTTCCAGCTGCTTCTCCCTGGCCTTTCGTTTCGCTTTCTTTCCCTGGGTATTGGCCAGCCTAGCACGTGCCTCTGATAACATTTCTAACTCATCCTCGTCCATGTCCTTCGGGTCCGGGCGTGCTGGTTTGGTCTCCGGGTTCGGATCAATTTCTCCGGGTTTGAGCTTACGGGGATCGTCTGAACCATCCTCACCCTCTTCCTTCTTTTGGGCTTGATCCAAGAGGCACTCGTAACGCTCCAGACATTGGGCAGCTGTACGACCGATTATTGGAGCTATTGTTCTCCATTGGGTCGGCATCAGTTTGGCTAGGTGAAGCAACTTCTCGTCCTCCTCTCTGCTCCATTCTGTTTTCTTTATGCTGGGGTCCAACCACTCGAACCAACGAGCCTTGCATTGCTTCGCTGATTTACGGTGTAGCAAAGAGGCTATTCTGCTCCACTGGTTCTTACCATATTTCATCACTGCCGCTTTAAGAATCTCATCCTGAAGGAAAATTACGTTTCATTGTGTTATTTATAGATGTAATTATTTTTTTTTAATGCTTAGTAATTTGGACTTTATATTTTGCCACTGTAAATTCTTCTTTCGAGAGTAATTAATGGACCTGAATTAAAAGGGCGTATAAAAATAAAGTACTTGTCCCAAATTTTACGAAATTTTTAGGAAATCGGTGGAATTATAGCGAGAAAGAGATAAATCCGGAAATTAATTAATTTTTCAATTTATCCGTGGGGTAATGAGTACATTGATTTATAGGTTAGGACAATTTGTATTTTAATTATATTCACCTCTGTGTTCCTCCAGACACCCCCTTTTATCATAATTCTTGGCATGATGGAGGATTCTTTGAATTCGAGGCACGGGTAAAATCAAATTGTTATTAATTTATTAGAACACATGAATTAAATACGAAACACTGTCGGCGTATTTAACGCTTCGAAATTATTCATCGACTAGGCGTTTGAGGCGTCTCGGGTCCGTCACCCGGAAGTTGCATTTTGCTGCAACGCGGGGGATTTTTAATTAGAGAAGAAATGGATGAAATAAAATATTATTTATAACAAGAAAAAAATTATTTTTATTTTTTCTCAATTTAATTCCGATAATATCGCCTGCATTCGATTGCCTTCACAATTTCATTTCTTTTTATCTCTCATAATTTAATGTACAAAGTGATAAAATTGTTAACAAATAAAATTCCTTGAATTTGAATTAATAAATTAATAGGTTAATAAATTGATTGATTCATTCCATCTCGGGTTTTTTCGGACTTGCCCAGTTTTGAATACCGGAAGTTGTTGTCGCGTCAGTTGCATCTTATTTATTCGTCTCCCATTATTTTAAGTATTCATTTCGCAAATTGATGGATAAATATGATTTTTGTTATATTGCAGAAATGCGTCTTAAACAGAAAATTGATACTCCTAATGTAATTGACAATGTGAAAATAATTTTGACTCGAGTAGCATGAAAAGTGGGTGTCTCTCCGTCACTGGGACAATCCTCGTATTCTCTTCGAGCTCTCGAACATTTTATCACCGGTGGGCATTTTTTAGCCACCGATTAATCTCCCGATAGCATTTCGGAGTACAGAGATGCGTAAGTACAATCCCTAATTACCGAATTTAATTGTCAAATTTATCGTTCATTCGTGATTGAGGGGATGGGGTGAAAATGTGAAGAATAGTGAACTGTGGATCGATAGGGAGCATTGTCGAGTGGCTTTGAAATGTCATTCATAAAATGGGGCGTTATCACAGGCTCCTGGTACCTCTAATGATCCCACAATTATCAAAACATTGTAATTTATTCAATTAAATCATTCCCTCTAACCCTCCATAAAATATCGTTCGTGTGAAGTGCCCTTCAATCGCCCATACCTCGAGAACGATAGAGTGGAATTTTCCGATTTTTGTCTTACTCCCGAGGTATCTTTATAATCTTTAAAATGAGACTGGGCTAGTGCAATTCGCTTCGTTCGTTCGTAAGATGTGGGATATTAAAGATCTTGATGGTATCTGCAGTGAATGGACCAACTAGGATAAATGCATTTCACCCAGGGTCAGTTATCTGTGAATATCTCGTAAAAGAAGTGAGATAGAGTAATTTTCGTAAATATCTCTTTTGTAGAACGATATACGGACTAAAAAAAAGGTTTATATAAAAATTGTGGTATTTCTCCCCGTTCAAGAGATATTCACTGATGATTGGAGCTGAGCCAGATGCACTTATCGCTGTTAAAAAATTCAGGTATTGGGGATCGATTCGTTTGACTCCTGGGGCCTCGTAATTGACGGCAAGGTTTCTGTTTAGTTTTAGAGTAGTGAAAAAATCAATTGTCCTCGATAAAGATGATCGGAGGCCTCTTCGTGTATAACCACAAGGGCGAGGTCCTGATATCCCGGGTGTACCGGGATGATATCGGGAGAAATGCTGTGGATGCATTTCGAGTGAATGTTATTCACGCGCGACAGCAGGTCAGATCCCCAGTGACGAATATCGCGAGAACATCATTTTTTCATATTAAACGGGCCAATATCTGGCTGGCAGCTGTCACCAAGCAGAATGTCAATGCTGCCATGGTCTTCGAGTTTCTACTGAAGATCAATGATGTTATGCAGTCCTACTTTGGAAAGATTTCCGAAGAGAATATCAAGAACAATTTTGTCCTCATCTATGAATTGCTCGATGGTGAGTGTGGAATATTTTTTTTTTATAAAACCCAAACTACAACTAAAAATTCATTACAATTGTGAATGTAATCGATTTTTCATTACCAAATTGATATAATTAATTGAGATTTTGTTTCACAGAGATCCTGGACTTCGGATACCCCCAGAATTGTGACACTGGAGTCCTGAAAACATTTATCACCCAGCAGGGAGTTAAATCCGCAACGAAAGAGGAACAAGCCCAAATAACATCTCAAGTGACTGGGCAAATTGGGTGGCGTCGAGAGGGAATTAAATATCGACGTAACGAGCTTTTCCTAGACGTTCTGGAGTACGTAAACCTGTTGATGAGTCCTCAGGGTCAGGTCCTGAGCGCGCACGTTGCTGGAAAGGTTAATAACTAGTACAGAATAAATTAATCGATTAACTGCACCCACTTCTGGATTTTTTCTCTATTATGTAAATTCAATAATTAAATTGTGGTTTATGGTCGCCATCCCCAGGTCGTTATGAAATCATATCTGTCAGGAATGCCCGAATGCAAATTCGGCATCAACGACAAGATCGTAATGGAAGCCCGGGGAATGAAGGGGGGAGGAAGTCTAGGCGGCGGTGACGATCCCACTGGTGCCAGATCTGGAAAACCAGTCGTCGTTATTGACGACTGTCAATTTCATCAATGTGTCAAGTTATCAAAATTCGAAACTGAACATTCCATTAGTTTCATACCACCTGACGGTGAATTTGAGTTGATGAGGTGAGCTTTCTTATCTAATTTATATTTATCGATAAAAGCAATTTACATAATTAATTGCACTCGATAATTCTCCAGATACCGCACAACGAAGGATATATCACTGCCATTTCGATTGATTCCTCTGGTGCGCGAGGTCGGCCGTACAAAAATGGAGGTGAAGGCAGTTCTAAAATCCAACTTCAAGCCCTCCCTACTGGGCCAGAAGATCGAGGTGCGGGTTCCCACTCCCCTCAACACAGCTGGTGTCCAATTGATCTGTCTGAAAGGTAAAGCGAAATACAAAGCATCTGAGAACGCCATCGTCTGGAAGATAAAGCGAATGGCTGGCATGAAGGAGACTCAATTGTCAGCTGAAATCGATCTCCTTGAAACTGATACCAAGAAAAAATGGACGAGACCACCCATCTCTATGAACTTTGAGGTACCATTTGCCCCGTCAGGCTTTAAAGTCCGGTATTTGAAGGTCTTTGAGTCGAAACTCAATTACTCCGATCACGATGTCATCAAATGGGTCAGGTACATTGGACGAAGTGGTCTTTACGAGACGAGATGCTAATGATCGAATCAATTCTCAGAGTATTCAGCTCAATGGGAGTAATTCATTTCCTAAATCAAATCAATTAATTAATCACACTTACGAAAAATTCTCTGTGGAGTAAATTATTTAAGTGAGTGATTAATTTGTTGAATTGACCGATTAATGGGAATTCATTAAAGAAAAATAGATTCTTAACAACTCGATGCCAAAGAGTTGTTCGTTTTCACAAATTTACTGATTTCATGCGACAGTATCAATCCAGATTATAATGAATTTACGGGAGATTATGTGATGTGCAAAGGGGTTACCATGACAAGTCTGCACGAAAATCATCGAGTGATGGAGAGTGTTTTATTTAATTTGAAGTAGTTACAACTCTTTGGTATGGGTATTACTCGATTGCTGATAAATTACTAATTGAGGAGAATAATTGTTGAGATTTACTTGAAGATGAGAGTAATTGTGGATAAAGTAATGATGAAAATTGTAGGTAATATGATTGATGTTGATATTCATTGCATTGAAAGCGGATGAAATAATTAATGAAGTATTGATTTTGTCTGTACGCTTCGAATCACATATTGAATCTCGAAATATATGTATAAATGAATGAATGTGGTTTCTGGTGTTTTCGGTTTTTTTTTTCAATTCAACCCAATGGGGATAATGAACAATTATGACAATTATACACAAATTATTAGATTTTTAACATAAGTTTCTTTATTCGACATATGACAACTGATGGCAATGGTTTCGGTGAGGAACAAGCTCTCAAGAATTCTATAATGAAATATTCCTAGTCTATGAATAATGCCTAAATGAGGTTTACACATTTCCACATGAAAACATACTCATCCGCTACATGTCGGCGGTGTACCGTCTGCAGTGTGTTATTGTCAGTTTATTCTTGACTTGCGTGCTGAAAAAAAAATATGAAGAAACAAGTGATTCGTTGGTTCAGTGGAATAAGTCATTACAATCCCATTTTTGAAAATTATTTGATTCTCTTGTTACGTCGATCATCATCTTCGATGAGTATACATTCATTGATATATTTCCCTCCACGTTTACACCACATGAAGTCGAATGATCCGGACATTCCAAATACATTTAAAATGATGATTTATTAGTGCTCTTAAGATGACTCCCACGTTACTCCATAAAATTATTAATTCACACACCCTTCATTCATTAACATTACTCTCATCCCTTTTTCATTGATCTCATCCATTACACATTTTTCAACTTGTACAGAAAATTCAGTGAATTTTCACCCGTTCACCATGAAACATCACAATGAAACCGAAATTATGCGATAATTAATCCCAATTGTAACTCTCATTTTAAAAAAGGACATGGCAATTTTAGTTTCCTAGTTTCTTCTCTTATCGAACACCACGATGGATTATTATTACTTGATAATTTACAAGATGTACGGCAGTCTTGAGTATGTCTTTATCATGTTCTGACAGTGAGGAAACTGGTGAAACCGATAAATTCATGAGCAAAAAAATAATGGAGCAGAATGACACCCCTTTTAAGGCCCAATGTCTATCCATTCAGCCCCAAAATCCCCAAAATTTCTCCAGTTTCACCATACGAGTCAGTCTCAGTATTACTGTTTAATTTATTTCCACCCGCAGGAAAATTATCATTCACCCCCTCTAAATCGCTGAAGTGAATTTACCAATGGCGCATTGAATTCATAAATGTATTGCCTATAGTTGCCACTCAAAAAAAGAATTTTTTGTCAAGAATTTTTCCACTATCAATTCACTCACTCCATACTTTATTGTATTGTTTTTAATCGGAAAACCTCAACGCGTCCTAGATATGATTTCACATCGTTAATAATGATTATAGTTATACCAAGTTACGTCTAGATTTTTTTCTATGTTCTCATCAATTTTCTAACTCACATCTCGGCCTCTACGAATTAACGTTCTAGTTCATACGCTGTTTTATTTACATTTGCCAACAGAAACATTTTCTCAACGAAGATTCATTATTGTGTACATGCCGACGATATCTCTCTCGATTTTCTCAACTAAATATAAACAGAAAATGTTTTCCATTCACAACTCCCGAAGAAATTCAGCCAGAGATGTTCGTCTGGCAGTTAATTCTTCAAATAAACAATTAGCGAAGCACTCAATTACTCAATTATAAAAGTAAAAAACAAATCGGACTCATTTAATGGTTTTTTTTTGGCAATAAATTGGTCCCGGAAAGTAAAATACGTACAAATAATTGATAAGGAAATAATGCTCTTCATCTTTCGGTTGTAACTCACGGTAATTAATTATTCAAACGATATCTTTGTCCTGATTACACAAATTATCACAACGATTGTCTCTTATCATTTTTAATCCCCTCGGTTGAACAGTAATGGGCGGTGATAATGGCAGAGATTCAGGTATATTAATTCTTACGTTTAATTTTTCTTCGTTATGACGTCGTTGACAACGGTATTGCGAGCTCTCGGCTCTTCAAAACAATTTTCTTTCCACGCGACTATATTCATTGTTTCGTCAAATTGTCATGGATCAAGTACCTGCTGAAAGTTATGCACTTATGAATTAATAGTAAGAAGCACTGTCAGCCTTTGTGAACAGCAATTCAATCGATCCCCCAAAAAATACTCTCAATCAAATCTCATTTGGAAAACACTTTGCAAATAACCGAGGATTATTTCCTAAAAATCAATGAATATTCTCATTTTCTTCACAAACAAATAGTTTTTACTATTTTTCAATTCTTTCAATCAAAATTATGAAAATACTACAGATGATGCGTAATAATTTAATTTTCAAAATATCAATGAAAATAATTATATCACAATTGCACCGATCGATCACGTGCTCGCAATGGCTGATTATTAATATTGAAGATATTAAAATTGCTCTCATATGTACATTTTATAAACAATGTTTTACACGAGCCGAGATATAGGAGTGTCGATTCAAAAATTCCGCTCGACCCGTTGGAATTATTTTCATTAGCACTGAATTGTCACAATTGCAAACTCCCTCGCTCTATCTCGACGTAACAATTTTTTCAATGTCGAAGCGCAGCTCCGAATGAACAGCATTATATCACATGATTCCTGGCTAATCAATTTTCTACATTAAATGATTTACTCTCTTCTAAATTCCCCTGTAAACGTCTAACCACCGAATCCTCAGCCTCCACCCCAGCATCCAACCCCTCAAAAAATTCCAGTTTTCATCTCCTCTTCTTCCCTTGGTCGTTATCTAATTAGTTCCCACTAATGCACAATCACAAAACTACTTCTCGTATTGTTTACTCATTTATTTATCATCATAAGAAAAATTATTCCCATTACTCATCGAAATCAACATCTGCGTGAATATTGAATTTCAATATTTATTTCTATTTCTCAATTTTTACATCATTACTCTGCTTTTGCCGGTGGCTTTATCCGCAGAGCCTCTGGATAATCAGCTTATGCATCATAAAATCTCTGATTCCATGGAATTTTATTGTCATCGTAAAACGAAAGAGTGAAAAATTCAGATAATTGGGGAATACGTATTCTATGTCCACCTGTAACTCTCCATCTTCCACTGGAAATCAATGATGAAATCATGGAAATCAAGAGACACTGCGGACGGGGAAAGAATAATCATTCTCGACAATTCACCAATTACGCCATGCCAATTGTCAATCCATTATATATAAATAATTGTTTGCAACTCAATTTTTCTGCAGGAAATGCGGAATTTCTTTTTATATTTATCTCGCTGAGGAAAAAATTCATTAAATATCCCTTTCACAATTTTAAAATTGATTTGCCTACTCAAATAAATGAGGGCTCAATATTCCAACATAATAATCCCTGGAGAGGGCTTGACTCCCGATAAAGGCACAACGTAATTGTGAACTAACCCTCGACTAATTACGTCGACTGATTTGCCTACAAGACCCCCCAAACCATTGAAAACAGAATAAATGAAAAAAAAAAACCACTAGAATAAAAATATTCCACTCACCCCAGCTCTCCCCAGGAAATTGAAAATTCACTATTAAAAGTCACACGTGCACACAGCTGAGCACTCACAGAGGTCCAATAAATCGAAACAGTTCTGGGCGTTACGTTCAGACGACAGTTACTCTCCATTTACCAAAATATTCTCTCAACATTGAAAAATGCCACGAAATTATTACAAAATTGTGGGCAGTGATGGCAGAATGGCGTTGCAATAATTTCCCCAGTTGTTTATCAAAGAACATTTTAATTCTGGAAATGTGCGTCACACCGTTGTCACACGGTCTATCTCAACGTATCGCACAGAACTGTCGCTTTGTCAGCATATCACTTCCTTGCCATCGATTATAGCCGTCTCCGAGGAGATGCTCTTCAATCGATGCTGGGAGATGGATCGATTTGTTTTTCTGCGTAGTACACGCCACGACACGAAGAATATAGCGCCCATTACTGATAGAATCAGGAGAGCACCGACTGCTAGGTGAAGTGGTGGCAGTCGTAGGAGCATCGAGCAGTGGGTCAGGGCCTCGTCGTATCCTGAGGGACAGTGAGAGGTGCCATCGCACCAGAGGGAGGCGTTGATACAGGCATCAAGCTCTGGACAACGTTGTTCGCAGTCTCGGGGCATTTGCAGACCTTCTGGGGGAGTCTTCATGGCTGGCCTATTAAACATCATTATCGTACAAGAGACACATATTTTTTTTTAATAAAAATCGTATTAAAAAAACTCATTAAAAAACTCTCGGAGGAAAAAAGTGTCAAGGAATTTTCCAACGAGGAAGAAACTTGAGGACAATTCTTCGAGGAAAATTAATGAGGCAACTACTCAGGAAATTTTCCAATATTTAATATTGAATCGATCTGGTTGCAATGCGAGCTTACCTCCTCGTCATCTCAAGCCACGTGACAGTATGGATGTCAGGCTCATTAATAATAAATTCAACAGCAACGCTTCTCATCGGATCGAAGCTTGGAGCGATCAGCATCGTTGCGTAATTCTGGGAGGTCCACCCTTTGCTGAAAACCCCAACGACCTGATGTCTCGAGTCACTTTCAGGTCTAGGGCAAACTGCCACGTTTAGGGTACCTCCGGTATGGAGAATCACTCGGTTCTTGGTGAGACATTTAGTGCCATTCTTCATGACTCTTCCATGGGTCTGCACGTAGAGGTACTGATTGGGGCCTGGATCGATCAGCCACGGATGATTTCGACAGTAGCTCTGGCATAAAATAACCCTAATGTACTATTTTCCGTAATTATCGATTTATCTCGAAAACTGTAAATTTCACGGAAAAATATTGAATGAACTTTTTGTAGCACATTAAATTTCCCATAAAAAATTTCATTACATGTTTTTTCCTGAAATCGCTGATTTTCGAGATAAATCGATAGATTGTAATATTCTTGGAGAACAGTCCCAGCGCAGTCGTAAATTTATTATTTATTATTCTACAAGCGCTATTTGTCTTGACAGGTAAATCCGGTGGGACAATATGTTTACTTTTTTTTATTGGGGTAGGTGAATTATGAATTTTTAATGCAAACCTCTTCTTCCTCGGCGATGGGTGACTCATACTTTATTTCACCTGACGGCCCCCTGACCCGTCGCTTCTGGAGACAAGGTACAGCTTTAACAAAGTCCCAGACACCCTCGAAGAACAGATTATTGTAGTCGTCGAGGGAACTCATGGAGTGAACGACAAAATGTACCTCGACGATATTCGATAATGACTTGACTGTGATTGGCAATGATCGGTTTGAACACAGGCAGTCTCGTTGAATTGGGGAGCCATTGGGCCATGGTAAATCCATTATCTAATAATAATAATGAATAAAATTCCAGTGGAAAAATGGATTAATAATTTTTCATCGAATGATAAAATACAATATTTACCTTCAGAGAGAAATTATTCTGCCCTAAACACAAAAATCTATTGTAATCAACGCTGGAGACACTTTTGCACGTATGATTTCCATTCAGCAATTTGTTGAATCTCAATTTAACAACTTCATCCTGTTCCCCTTCGAAACGATACACACAGCTGCAACCATAAAAATGAATTACTCGATATTGATCCTAAAGCTCCACGACTTTTTTCATTATTCTAATAATATTCCACCATGGATTATAAATTAAAAAAAAATTCCCTACAAATATCCGCTTCCCTAGACTAGTCCATAACTCCTGACAAGAAATATCAAACAAATTTATTCATAACTAATAAATTTAACGGATAGAGTATTTATCTTACCTTAAATTCTTCGCGCCGCCCCTGCCGTACAAGAAGATGTCCCTGGGAGCTTGAAATCTCCTGTCGACATATTGATCCCGATTTCGACTATAAAAAACTCGTGAGCAGGGTCCTACCCCATAAGGATCACCATCCTGATGTAGATCGACGAATTCGTAGAGTGCGCGAAAATTCACAGGCCTTCGTAGAAACAGAGTAGATAAAATAAATAATGTAACACCAAAGAGAAATGGGGATTTTCCCCAATCGATTAGTTATTCAAAACCATTGAATTTATTAAATCCTCAGGAAATCCTCTTAACTCAATAACTCAAAGTGGTTTGTTCCGTTTGTACATTGCAAAGGTGTTCTGCCATGATTTTTTAAACGATAATTACCTCAGGGCTGTGGACTCGGTCATGCGTATTTCAATAGTCATGCTGTTCCCGGAGGAAATGAAACTTTCCCCTAATGTACATGGTCGACTCGTATTCTGCAGAATCAAGTGATCACACGTTTTTGGCAGTTTGTCCTTGCAGTATCTGGCCAACAGAGTAGTATTTGCTGCTGGTCTACCTCCACTCTGCGGTATTAAATCCCCAGTTCTGTCCATATATCTCTGCCTCTCTTTTCCGCTGCAAATAATCCAGTAAAATTGTGGCAAATCATCATCAAAGCTTCAATTCCTTATTCAAGTCTGCGGCGACAGAAATTTTATTCCCAGTTTCGCTCTTTTCAATGATCAATTAAAAACTTTTAATTGATCTTTGCATTTTTTCTAGACAAAGCTCCCTGTGGATGTCCAACTGATTTCATTAAAAATTATAAAAATATTTGAAGCTTCAGTCTTATTTTCCTTTTTTTTTCGAAGGGGAGTGATTACCGAGTTGTTGGAAGTGTCGCTTTACGAATTGAGGGTAAGGGTGTTTGAAAATAATTGGGCCTCACCAAGATATGTCGTTGCATTCGGATAACGGAAAGATATCTCCGTCCCACACGAGCATTGTGGTACTGCAATCTTCATCATTAGTGCTGGGAGTATTACCAACGTGAAATTTGAGGATGGACATCCAGATGCGAAATTGCGGTTGTGCAGGTTTTGGCGCTGGTTTTCTCCAGACAGTACCAGGTCTAGTCTCCGGGAATTTGGGTAATGGTCTCGGTGGTGTTGGACTGGGCATTACTGGCCCAGCACCTCGGAGATGATACAGACAAGTTGTATTTCGTGGGAGTGTGTGCCGAGGTGATGCCAGTACACCACCACCATTTCCCTTCAACCAAAATTCGCAGCGTTTATTTTTCGCGTACTCCGGTGACTCGGCGTCTACGAATTTCACCTGTGTAAATTCATTAATTGTTGATCAGTATTTGCATTAAGATGCATTTGTCGGGAGACAGATGTATGGACTTGAATATTTCACCTGGACTTCCAGTTGAAAACCGTGGAGGGAGTGGGGTGGTGTTGGATGGAGAAAAGTTCCGTAGGGTGATGTGGTAAATTCAACGAGAATTTCTGCTTCGCTGCTCGTTGCCTCTGGCACCGGTTCACCACCACCACAAAACTTGAGGATCACTGGGTCTCGAGTGGTGTAGCCATCGTACACTGTTACGTAGTCCTGAAATTTTTTTTTTCCCTTCCATTTGAAAATCAGTCTATTGACTTACGTTTGGCTGAATACGACGTGCATTCACCTCTAGCTACTACTTTGCTATCGTATTTTTTTATTGGGATTCACGGAATTCTTTGGAGCTCTATGCAGTACTCTTTCATCCAGTTGAACTATTTTTTAATAATATATTCAGACCGGTGTATTATCCGGTAAAATTTTCTCAGGTAGAAATTTATAGGAAAATCCTATTGAGATTGAAAGTTGCATTCTGTTCTATATAATAGAACAGAATGTAAATCAATGAATACAATATAATAATTGAATTTTTAATTAAAAATATAGAACTAAAGTGTGGTTTCTATTGATTTCCCCTCCGACAATTCGATACGAATTTTGAATTGTTCAGTCCTTAGAAATTTCAGACAAAAATTTCTAGTTTTTTTTCTGTTTAATTCTTGAGGTTGACCTGACCTACCTGAACGACGTCACAATCCTGCCACAATTTGAGCTCTCTTGGTGGTGGTTCAGCCTGATTAGCTGGTCTAGCACGCACAGCAATCAGCTGACCCCTTGGCTGACGTACAGTTATGAGTGCGTGTTTGCCTGGTGGTACTTCGTGCTGTCGTACCTGAAGAGTACAATTCTACTTAATTCAGGAGACGCTCAACTATGCAAGACTAGAATTCTATTTCTCGGCATATCCTAGGGTCACACGATTATACCAGAAGAAAATAATATCAGCGCTTCCTGGAATTCCGCGACATTCCGCAGAATGACGCGAACTCCATCATCCGAGAAATAATTGCGATTTACAACTGTACGACTCATAATTTTTACATTCTTTTTAATAATCTTTTTACATTCTTATATCTAATTTATAATCTATTAAAAAACTTATTGACCTTTTTTGCGAGTGTTGCATTTATTAATATTAATATAGTGGAAAAAAATTGGAGAGAACTTACTGCATAGTAGCACGTGAGATTGCGTGGATAGAGACCAGGAAAATTGGGCGACTGTAGCCTACATTTTCTTTTATCGCAATCGCTGAATATTCTCGAGCAATATGTCCCTGATATCAGGTCCCCCAGGTATTGTTGCTCAGGGGTAGCCACAGTTGGTTTAAATTTTTCTGTTATTCTCACCGACGAGGTGATTGTCGTATTCGAGTACTCGATGGGGTGACTCAAAGCAGTGGTTGGTCTCGAGGTCGATTTTGTGAGGTACGACACGAATTCTGGGGAATGATAATATATTTATTTGAACAGGGCAACAGAAAAAGAGAGTCCTAATTTATTCTTAATTTTTCTTATCTAAAATTCGTACAACCTGCGAACGAAATTTATAATAAAAAATTGAAGTTTAATTCTGATTAGGTTTTATGGATAATTAAGGGTAAGAGACGATAATTAAGGATAATTAAGCCTGATAATTTTTGGGATTAAATCAAAAAGAATTTTGTTGGGTATCGGAATGGGATGGGGGATGCAAACTCACCGACGAATGGATTTCCATATCTGACAACAGCATCCGATCTTTTTATCATCTTGTATGCCATACGAAAATCGAAATTGAAGCCTGTCTGATCCTGACTGAGTCTCAGGAGTTTCAGGGATATCGTAACAATCGGTGTTTCACTGTAGTAAATAGCTGGACCCCATGAGGTGCCACACCATACCCCACCAACATCCGGTCTCTGGGCTTCCGATATTTGCAACGACCCATCGGGGCATCCCTCCACCGTAAAGGATACAAATTTCCCGAGGGTGAAACTGTCGAAGGTTAACTGGAGTGCAACAGATTGTGTTGTTTATTATAATTTCATTATCCACAGGAAAAACGTGAGGGGTATTCATCCCTTGAGGAAATTACACGTGAAATACTCGTGGAAAAAAAAAACAATTAAAAAAAAAAATGACATGAAATTTCGGGGGAATTCTTCCCTCAGGAATTAATTAATCTCGTTAATTTACGAGTCATTTAATTTCACGGAAATTATTTCTATTCATACGGGGGAATAATTGGAAAATAAATGGAGTGACTCACAGAATTTATATCAATTTTTTTAGGGGATTGAAAATTTTTGGGGCTTGGGGGAAATTATTAGTTATTCGGGGTTGCTACTGAAAAATTGGAATTAGAATACCTGTACAATATCCCCGAATTCTTTTCCAGGGGCATTGAACGTCAGCTTGCAGAAGTAAGGCACCTTGTCCTCCTTCGGTCGATGCAACTCGAGGTAATAAGTTTTCCCTATATCTCCATAGTACGTTCTATTGCAAGCTGAAAATATAAGAAACAAATGGAGCTATCAGACTCACCTCCATTAAAATATTCAATTTTTTCATTTTTCCACATAAAAAAATTCCGACATTAGTTCCAAATAATGAAAAAATGTAATTCAAATTTAAAAAAAAATCACTCTCCCCAAATTCACATTTCCATATAATTCCATTTGATCAAGGAGTGAGAGCCATAAAAATTCAATTGAAAAATGATTTGAAGTTTATTGTTTCATAAATGGAGGTCCAGTGAAACGCAGTAGCAACGAGTGGTTGTGGGTTGAATTAACGAGTATTCATCATACCAAGTGGCCATTAAAGTAACGAGTGTTATCTGAGATTTGCTCGATCCCAAGGAATTACGATAGCCTCCGATTGGAAATGACCAACTCAGCCTGACCTATCTATACAAACAGAGAATGTATTGTGCAGAGTTGGCCATTGAGCGCACTTGAACCAACATACCCACTGTCCATGGTACCCTATTCTCTCCCAACCCTCTTGGATTCCCTTGTCATACATCCCCGATGAGCCCTTGAAGCCGTACAATGAATCCTGTATAACCACTGCCTGTTCAATCCACCAGTGCTAAATTCCCGAAAGTCGTGTGGCTACGTGCCACATGAAGCCAACAAATCCGTACTTTTACCTCCTCTTCATCAAGTCCATCAACTCATCCAACCCATTATCATTTCTCCCAGATAAATCACTTCATCTATCGAACATCTACCAAAGATTATTAAATATTCTCATCAATTCCCAAATCCAATTCGTTATAAACCCCAAGGAAAAGGCCGCAATTAAAATACTACAACAAATTTTCTCAACATTTTGTGTTATTTATTTTATTTTATCGTAGAGAAACATTGAAAGTTTTGGAAATTCAATTTTCTTTATTAATTATTATTTATCGGTGAGTTAATAATTTAATTGAATCTGACGTTGAAAAAAAATTTCGATTATCTTGAATTGAATGAAAACTCTGATAATTGATAATTCAGATTTTCTTCGGTCTTTTGAAATTTGGATAAATTTAAAATAGAGAGTGAATTTAAAATAGAGAGAATTGTATGCCAACATGCATTCACATCACTCGTCTGGCAATTTACAAAGAGGAAATGAGTGGTCGTCCATCGCTTTTCCCTCTCGTCCTCAGTCGATGACCTGAAAGAGGGTCTGGAGAACAAGTCGAGAGCATCACGAGTTGTGAGGAAAAAAACATCGTGGATATCCTTTTCTGTGGTCGGGTCTTTAATGCATCCCCTTCCGCACACTCTGTCTCTCTATTCAACAGAGAGAAATAAAAAAAAAAACAAAAATATCTACCAATCACTTTGTTTAGGTTTTCCCCGGGCAAGATCGATGGTGAACCTATTTTTGAGACATTTTCCTTGAACGTTATCAGGCTTTGACCTTTCGGCCAGACCTTTTGTTCACTCTAACGAAAATTTATTGTTTCGTTAAGGCGATAAATCTATCCGCTAGTGAAATCTGAAGATTGAATAAACCGATGATAATTTAAACAAAGGAGATAATCTGAATTGTGAAATCTTTTGTACAATGGAATTGGAATTATCAGGAATTTTTCATGAATTTATAATTATCATATTCATTCATATATGTATTTGTAATTCTATAATAAAAGTATGTAATTAATAAAAAATTTCTTTTCTCTCGTATACCCTTTCGGGTCTTTACGGTTAGTTGGTTCCCTTCCCACCCCCCCAACCCCCTGTACCGCATTTGCTTGAAGGGAGGGAAAAACCTCATCTGAGGGAAAAAACCTGCCCAGGTACAGTCGTCCTTTTTGACAGGACTACCGCTCGGCAGTGGAACCGTGAGATCAGAGCGCTATAAATTTTTGACCGCCGGTGCCCGGGATCGAACCCGGATCTCTGGCATGCTAGTCTAGCACTCTAACCGCACGGCCACTACCGTCGGTGTATGTAATTAATATTTTTATATAAATAGATTATAATCGAGTGAAAAATGTCAAAAAATGGAGAAATAACAAATAATCAGATTTTGGTGACAAAAGTTTATTATTTGATATTTCGTAATTAAATGCCAGAGAGAATTAATTGCAATGATTGGAATAATTGTCAAGTCTTTTTGAGTTATTTAGGGGATTCAGATTAATAGGCCAACGAAATATATATAAAATTAATGGAAAATTTATCAGGATGTTCGGGTAAATGTGAAATGGCACAAGAGCGATCTGGTGAGGACGGGATAGTATGGTGCGACAGATTTGACCCAAATGCTCGTAGGTTGGCTACTGGCCAGTTGGCTGTGTCCATTAATTGTATATCTCCAGAAACAGAACTAAATAAAATGATTTATATATATATATTATCCTGGCTAATTCCATCAATTCCTCGAAGAGCTCAACGAAAGATGGAGGAGCTTGTGTTCCAGTGAGGGTTGCATTAGCTCGAGTCGAGCAATCGGGCTCCATTTTAGTTGGGCTGGTAAATCGAGAATATCCGGCTTTTCATTAAATTCGGATGTTGGTACATTCCTCACGTTTGAGGTTTCAGGGATTTCCAGATGAATCCGTCGGTTTTTTAAATTATCGATCCTTTACTCGCTGCAATTTTCTAATAATTTCGTAATATTTCAAATGAAAAATTACGATATGGTCGACGTCTTGAAGATACTCGATAATATCAGACTAAATTACGAATTTAATTCATTAAAATCATCAGTATATCATACGCAGATTAGATCGATTTTTTAATCGATATCTTGCGTACAATCGAAAACACTTGCGGATATTAATTTTTAAATAATAAGTAAATAAATAAATAATGTATTTGCATTATAATATCGATTTCTTAATCGATATTTTTCTATTATAATATATTTATTATATTCTAAAATAATAAGTAAATAAGTAAGTAATATACTTCCATTATAATATTTTGACTTGTACCGTTTTAAAAAAATATATTGATGGGTAATATATATTGAAAAAAATGTCGCAGGTCGCCCTAATTGCGATGACCAATCCCTCGAATCGCTCAAATAATTACGCTTTGAATTGAATCCAACGTGATGCGACGATTGGTTGTATTCAGTGGGCACGAATGACTCGAGTTTTATGAAATACTGGAGATGTTTCTGGGATTGAAAAAACTCACGTGTGCAGGCTCTTTGCTCGTCACTGCCATCACCGCAATCGTCGAGTGCATTGCAGACTTTATTGAGGGATACACAACGTCCGTTTCCGCACTGGAATTCACTTTGACGACAGCAAAGTACAGCAGTTACCGTTAACACGGAAAGACGGAAGGGCCAGCGCATGTCTGTAATCATAAAAGAGGCAGAGGAATAGTTTATTTATTTTTTTTCAATTGGTGTGGATGTCAAAGGCGCATGATGCGGTTAACAAATTTCAAGAGAAAACTCACGATGACGACACGAAAATTCGCGACTTACGCTTTTGCAGTTGGAGAAAAAAAATTGGAGGAATAATTTATTTTCACAGAATTTTCATAGCGCCAATTGGTCGGATAATTTCGATTAATAATCATCAAACATTTGAATTTTTTATAACAAAAAAAGGGGGAATGTTAAAAAAAATTGTAAGTCAGCCAACATTTTTTTTTCTCCCTGAAAATTCAACGAAATTAGGAAATGTGGATTTTTTTTTAATTGGGAGTTTTAACGAGAAGATTAATCTGTCCATCGGAAAGATATCGAGCGGTCCTCTTCTCTTTTCGGCGAAACACTCGAGTTCTGTAAGAAAAAATGAGAATCTGTATCTTTCATCGAATACTTGGTGAAGAGGGGAATATATATTTGCCTTGATGCAGCTTGCGCTTGCTCACGACTGGAGAATCGAATTCCCGTCGTTTCCTGGGGAAAAGACAAGCGCAGTTGTTCATGGCATGCCGTCTGCGCATTGAGCCATTCTCATCACAGAAAGACACATCACACTTGAGGCAAGAGTCTCCAATATTTGCATTTTCCAACGGTTCACGGTCCACAATTATCTGTCCACTTTGTCTAGCTCCGACGATCCGTCGTTTTTTATGGGGATACGTCAATCAACTGCTATCAGGTAGAACTGTTTCAAGAATTTTATTCGTCTACATCGAAAGTTCAACCTCGGTTTACGAGAAATGGGACATCTTGTTTCAATTACTCCCTCGAAATTTATCGCAATTGAAAATATTCCGGTGAATTTCTCCGCTTTGTCTAGCTTTTGTCTAGTAATCGTTTTTCATAAAGGCGCACGTTGAGTTTTGCTTCAGAATTTTTTTATTTTTACCTCCATTTAATTATTTGTGGATATAATTAATTTTTCAGTTTTCCAGGTTTTTGCAGTTCGATTGTTGTTCCGACAACTGATAATTTAAAACGAAGGGAATTTTTTTTTTGTGTAATCGCAGCGAAACAGATTTTTCGGATTCTACCTTAAATTTCCACTCGCGAAATCCCGCGAAATCCCGCGAATTCCGACAATTAAAATTCTCGGATGATTGTTCCCAACCCCGTGAACGTCGCGATAATTTCCCCAGTAAATTGTTCCAACAGTAGTTGGATATAAAATCCGGTATCTAGCGAAAGAAAACCTATCCCTCAATTCCAGAGAATTCCAATTTTTGCCGTCAAGGGATATGACCCTGGAAAGTTTCTTGAATGCAGCAAAGCGAGTACCAAATTTGCTCCAGGGAGAATGGAGATGCTTTGTTACCCGTAGAAATTCTAAGAATTTGCGCACTCCACCGAGGATTCAGGGATGTGGGATCGAATGTGCTCCAGTGACATCCAAAGTTATCTGTAAGAATATTCGCTGATCTGAAAGCTGAGTTGTCTGAGTATGAACCGAGTATCAACCGAGTATCAACCGAGGATACGATCCCCGTGCCAGTCCAAGACTGATTGCCAAAATCAATGCATTCAGAATGAGGACATCAACCCAGAGACAGTTGTCATCAAAATGGATGACCATGGAAACTGAAAAATGGAAAATAATAGCTCTCGAAAATTTACCTACATTGGCGCTCACCAAATTAATCTACACTCCGCCAGTATTATAATCCCAAAAAATAATCAATGTCTTGACTCTACCATCAAAAACAATTCCTCCAATACCATTTGATCCAGAAATACATCAAGCCTCATGTTATCTGACACGAAACATCTGTTCCCGGATATTACAACCCGCAGTGTATTTAATCCAACCGATTTTCGGCGACGCCTCCATCCGAATCCATTTCTGCACTTCACAGCGTACAATTCAGCTTCAAACCGGCAATTCTGAGGGTTAGAGTTAATCCATAAATTATAACCCACCACTCGGCTTTCATCTTGCGCAATATTGTGTAAAATACGTATGTAATACCATCGGTGAGGCTTGATAAGTTAAAGCCCCTGGGTTTACGTTTCACCCAGCATCCAAGGCTTATTTGATGTTATGAAAATTATACTCATGACTCATCTCATGGGTCATGAGGTCTGAAAGAGAAAAATATTTCCAGAGATTCACTTACTCGCGAAAAACAGAATTTTTTCAAAAAATTTTTCACTCAATTCAGTAATTCTCAAGTAATTCCCATTAGATTTTGATAATTAACATTAATTAATATATAAACTGTATTATCAATTTTTTAAATACCAATTTTTTTACAAGAGAAAATTAACGGAATTGTTTAATTATATGAGAGAATAGGAATTTTTATGGAGGGATTCTGAGCGTGTGCAAATGAATTCAAAAAATCTGTTTAATGTCGGGAGTTCGAGTGCTTGCGTAAATAAAAGTTGGGCAACAATAAATTTATCCTCAGTGTTATTTGTAGGTTGAATGGTCTAGGGGCTGAAGGTAAATAGTGTTTCTCGGAGTTTTCTACTTTCAGCGGCATGTTTACTATTTCAGTGGTCTTTATTTTTTTTGACCAGACGAGCAGAGAGATGCGGTCAGGCCTTTTCAAAGTGCAAACCTCGGAGAATTTTCCATTCAATGGGATAATGAATGCTCAGTTCTGAGTAATAAACATGGACCGTGCAATTTTTTTTTTTATTTCGCATTCCATTTGTTTCATTCTGGGTCATTCTGTGATATATTTTTTTATATACTGACTTTTATTATTTTCGAGTGATAGTCAAGGGCGATGCCAAATATAAAACGAATAACGAGGGTGAATGGGGGTGGATGCGATGAACCAGTGGCATCTACAGAGATATATCTCGAGGAAGTGGATTCGATTGGAAAGGACTCCCTCGACTCTACACATTCATTTCCAACTTTGCTATTAAACTTTTCCGTCCTCTGAGCTTCACTATAAACTCTCTTCCTTCAGCTTTTAACCATCATATCTATCATTTCAATGCGCTGGCATCCAAACCCTCCAAATTAGACCAATTACGTCTTAATGGACGTCAGTCTTACGAAATTTTTCAACTCCACTCTCTTTATTCTCTCATTACGAACAATCATTTTTTTTTTAATCGATTTTTCATCTTCGCTTAACGAGAAGTTTGACAAGAATTTTGATAATATATTTAAATTGTTCATTTTTATAAATCTGTATTTTATCAGGTGACATTGGAGGGGAAAATATTCGATGGGTTTTATTTTATTTTTTGATGGTCTTTATCTTTTGGAGGGGTGAGAATATTTTCAGGAATCAATTTCACCGATTTTTCTCATTTGATTGGATTGAATTGATAGGTCAGAATAGAATTTTCTCTGGAAATCATATCGCACCTCGAATATTACCAGGACTCTTCATTTCAGTAAATTTTACTTTATCGTTTTATTCCGAATTTTCATGACTCCGTTTAGCCTCTATGGCAGTCATACAATGCGGAATAACTTTCACAGGTTTCCGGAGGCATTTATTTTCCGTGAAAAAAACTCCAAATCGCTCTCACACATTTCGATCCTTTGTGGAATATTGGATGGTGTATTTAGGTTGTCAATGGGCAATTTCCAACAAGTTCGATTGTTACTTCCGCATCTATAGACGAATAAAGTGTGAACAATTTGTGAATAATTTATTTGTTCCGTTCTGCTTCGCGTTCACAGAAAGATGGAGAAATTTCCACTGACAATTCAATGAAATTGCGAAGGAAAATTGAAGGCAAAAATTATTCCCAAGAATTCAATTTCAATTTTCTATTTTTAGTTGTGATCTCGGCACAGTAAATAAATAAAGAAATAAACACTTGAAGATTTTTGAAAAAATTTTTGGGGATTTTAATTTTCTGGAATTTTTAAGATGGATGACAAATTTAGAGAGAATTTTTAATTGAATGCGAATTTAAATTCATGTAGTGTACAGTTGATAATATAATTTTGCATTCCGCGTGATTTTCCCGATCAGAGTCTCACATCAATGTCAATAATCGAAACGTGACGAACAGTCGATGAATGGCCGTTCCACTCTGTATCAGTCATAATTACATCAAATCATTATGGGGTACAATGGACACGTGATGTGCCCCACGAGTTTCCATCGACTCTCGGTGGAGCTTTCAGGCAGAAAATTCTCCAATTAACGTGGCCTTTGACCCTTGAAGGATAAGATGAGCATTTCTCCTCTGATTGCATCCGCAATTAACGAGGAAAATTGTCGAGAGCCTGAGCTTGATTACACAAGCAACAATAACAATTGCGATTCAATGGAATTTACACTCGACGTGAAAGTGTACTATTTTCTTTATGATATCTCGGAATCCGCGCAAGATAGCGATATTTTTCATTCCACATTTTTTACAGACAAAAATATAAGCTTTAAAAAAGGTCGTTATAAAAAAATCACTATCTTTCGTCAGTTCCAAGTTATCAGATAAAAAACGGCGTCGGGATATTCTCGAAAATTTTCCGTTCGCAAATTTAGCAGAAATAAAGTGTAATTACTCAATCATTATTGCAGATAGTGAAATTTTTGTAATTACCTTTTTCGTAGCTGTCAATGAGCTCTACAAAAAAGGCTCTAATAAAAATTGAAGTATCTCCTTCAGTTTCGAAAATAGCCGTGAAAAACCGCGAGAAGCGCGGAGTGTCCTTTAAGTATTTCGTTCGGTATTCAATATTTTTCGCACACGTCGCCGAAAAAAAAAAATCCCAGGGGAATTATTTTTTTTCTAGTCTCAGGGTGTCGTTGAACTTACCATCCCATGAACATCCTCCGTCAAACAATTTTTATCACCAAATGAATGTGCATCCTTTGAAAGCAAGTGCACGAAGCCTCGAGTGGCCCGGTCTCTCCTCAATCTTCTGATCTTCCGTATCAAGTACCAAAAACAGAGACTGAAAATATCCCTTTTCCCCATTCATAGAGGCATCTCTGAAAAC